CCCCACACTTCGACCACTGGGCTGGAAGCAGGAACAGGCGGAATGCTCTTCGCTAAGACTGAAAAAAAGCCTTATTTTCATCAGTCTTTCAAAGCCTGGGAGCCGTCATCAGCTCTGTGTTCATCTTCCCCTTCCCTTTCCTCTGCTGTCCCTGCAACATGACTTCATGAATGCTCTCCTCGCCCAGACAACCATCTCGTTCCAAGGAAACGGTCATCAAGTCTGTCTAAAGGGAGGACCTTGGCCTCCAGTCCAAGGCCTGTGCAATACAGTCAGAGACTTGAGAGGCTGAAGACGTAAATACAGGGTTAGGAGGCATGTCAGGAACTCCGCAGATCATAAACCGATAATGGTTATTCGAAGGCATCAGGGAGGGCCTGCGATGCACACCTAACCCACTGTGATTTGTTTAATGCCTGCTGCTTTTCTGGAGTGTAAGCACAAGGGGGCAGGGGCTTGGCGGGTTCCATTCACCCACAATTCCTGGTGACTAGGAGTCCTCAGCACGTCAGCTCACTTGACAAACACCGGTTATGTGATCAGGTGGTTTTAGGGAAGCCTGACCTGCAAGACTGACCCGTGGAGACGGGCTGATGGCCTGTTATAATTCAAGACAGACATCATGGAGATGCAAACGGCTCACAGAAATGGAGAGCACGAGCCAGAAACGGGTCAAATCCAGTGCCGCCCCCTCGGCGTGCATAATCCTGGGCAGGTTGCTTCTCTAAACTTCGTTTCCCTCACATGTTAAATAGGGATCATGATCTACTCTGCAAGTTTGCCGTGAGTGTGACTGAGTAAATGTGCGTGAAGAGCAGGTGCTGAAGACAGTAACCGTAAGGGCTCCTCTGGTGGTTTTACTCCCCTTCCTCTCTGTGCGTTTGGACGCCTCACGCCCCACTGCGTGCCACCAAAAATAAAGAACCCTGGGTGAGTGTGACCAGAGGTTACTTACAAAAATTAAGTTTGGAGATTTTTGTGGATTTCAAATCCACATTAGTTTTTTTCTTGTTCTCATCTACGACTGAGTTTCTTAGAATCTGTTAGTTCCGACTCTTTAGTATGGTTATCTGGGGAGAAGGGGAAATTACAGGAAATGAATACCTTCTTCCTAATGTATTTCTATAATGTTTGTAAACACTTACAAGCAAGGGGGGGGGGAAGATAAATTACAAATATATAAAATGGAGGAGGATATCTACGTGGCAGGGCCAGCTGCTTTGCTGGGGGCGACACAGAGGGGACACTCTCAGGACCCAGGTGGTTATAACAACCAAAGATCAATGACCTGACCTTTCAGCTCCAGCCAAATGGACTCTCCTGGAAACTGTCCTTATTTTCCTGCCTCAAATGGAAGTTCTAGAATGTTCGCACCTTAAGCAAGCAGCAATAAGGAGGAGGATAGAGATAATAAGGAAGATCCACCCAAACTAATCAGCCTGCTGCCTGGCTGAGACTCCCATGGGGAAGAGCTCTGGGCCCAGAGCTGGTCACTCCACATCGCTCTGTGGGGTTCCAGGTCTCAAGCTAAGAAACCTGCTTTACCAGGAGTGAGGCCACCCAGGAGAGCTTTTTATCCTAATGGAGAGAAGCCCCATTGCTTTCCTTGGACATAAGGGCACTGCCAGCTTTGGGGGCATCCTCCTCCCGCCGTGGTGGTGAGTCCTGACGCCCCAGATGGGCACTGACGACTCGAGGAGGAAAACAGTGCCTTCAAGAGCCGACCTTCTTCCCACACTCTCAGTGCCAGTTCCTTTCTGTCCACATGAGAACAGGTCTTGACCACTCTGCCCCTTACTCAACATCAGTTTTTAGACCTACATTTTTTGTCAGCTGGCACATTTTCAATTCTGGTGGGAATTTCTTTTCCAAATGGGCTTTGGCTGGAGGAGTTTTGAGGGGGACCCAAAGGAATCACCATGGCTCTGTCTCAAACTGGGGAGTCTTAACTATGGCTATAGAGTGACCACAGGGAGACAGCTGGTGCCCCCACCCGCCAACGGAACAGGAACAGGGGCCTGCTGTTGCCAGATGGCTCCCTGTCTGTCTAACTCACGTGCATGCGAGCTTCTGCCTGGCCTCCAGTCAGAAACAGGGCTCTCAGTCTGGGTGGGCCTACTGCTAGAACCAAGCCATAGAGAAATGGGGACCCAGGGTGTTGTGAGAGGATGGAAAGGCCCACAATGCCACACAGCTTCAAACAGAGACCTCACGTTGGAGAAGCATTTCGTAAAACAAGACCCGTATCTTAAAACTGAGCGGGAAAGGGTTCAGAGAAAGCGGTTATCGCCTCTCCACTGGATCTAATTATGGGCCTGGGTTGGGTCACTCACGGGCTCAGGTGCACACTTACTGTGCCTCTTGCCTGGGGGCTTCGGGTCCCTCACATCCCCCACTAGAAGCCTCTATTCTGAGAGAACAGGAACAAACAGCTACTGCCAACACAAGAGCAGGGGCAGGGGAAGCAGCGAGCACAAGCCACCCTGACCCCTAGAACTCTGGATAAGAAAACGTGTATGTAGATGTTATTTTATATAGATCTCACCCAGGTGACCAGGTCCTTAGGGATTCTCAGAACTCTTAAAGAGTTTTTCCATGAAGTCAGAGAGAACAAAACTATTGATCGAAACCAAATGGTCAATATAATTCCCACATATATTTAACTACTCTCTAGAAAAGAGCTGCTTTAGCTAATTTTTAAAGTACTGGCAGATCTAACTCATCTGAAGGGGTGGAAAATCGGAAACAAAAGCACACCATGCAAGCCAGCCTTCTGAGCCACAGCGTCTGGCGAGGACGTCCAACAGCTGCAGCTTATTCACCGGCGCCAGTGGACCTGCCCCGGGAGACCCCTGCAAAAGGCAGGCTGTGCCTGGCCAGAAAGAGCCCCTCACTCAGAGCCCAAACTGGCACGGCAGTACATCCACCCTAGATGAGGGCCAGAGACAGAGCTTAGGCGAGAGGCGGCTGTCACGACCCGGAACATTCCCTGAGCGATGGTTACTTTATTGAAATTCCCTTATTACCCTGTTCAAGGGGAGGAGAATTGGGGCTGAGAAGATAGAGAGCAGGAGACACTGACTTTTATTTTACATACTTCTGAGCTATGTCTGTGTTTTTAAGACAGGTTTTTAAAACTTTAAAAATTGTTTTTAAACAATTTACGTTTTCTTAGAACAATGTCTCCTTCTCTTGTCCTAGTCTGTGTCTGTCGTTGCATGCCACGTCACCTCCTTAGGCCGGTCTTCCCTGATCACCTCCTCCGCTGCGGACTCCCCTGCCAATTCTTTACCACATTTTCCTGCCTCATGCCTTGGTAACACACATCACAATCTGAAACCACCTTTGCATGCGTTTGTCCACTAATTCATCCTCATCTCCACCTACTGGAATATCCGCTCCATGTGGGCAGGGGTCTTATCTGCTTACTACCACCCTCCTAAGGCCTTGGACAGCGGGGACATGTGGAAGGTACTCAGTAAATATTTTTTGAAAAACTAAACACATGGACATGTGATGGGATTTACAAATGTCCATATTCATTCCACAAGCCAGGTATAATGTGCAAAAACACAGTAACAACAGAAATTTTATAAACTGTAAGATGGGTATACCAATTTCTCTGAAAGTGATCCCTAGTCCACCCTGCATGGGCTTTTGTGTGTGCACACATGTACATGTACGAAGAACAGCCTGCTACCTGTTTTTGTAAATGAGGGTTTATGGGAACGCAGCCATACCCAAGCATGTACGGATAGTCTGTGGTTGCTTATGACCCACAGGGCAAAGCGGAATAGTGGCAACAAAGACTAGATGGGCTATAAATATTTACCATCTGGCATTTTAAGAAAAAGTTTGACAAACCCTGAGCTTGAAGACTGTGACTGAAAACTGCACAAGAGTAAAGCGCAGTGCTTACACAGACCCTTACTAGTGGTAGTGGTCACTAATATTCTATCTAGGCCTTGTCATGTGCTAGGTATTGGGCCAAGTGTTTTAAGCATATTACCTCCTGTAATTTAATTCTCACTACAACATTATGAGTAAGTTCTCACTGCTGAGTTAATAGGGGTCCAGTAATTTGCCAGGGTTGACAAGGTCAGTGACAAACCCAGAATTCAAATCCAGCCCCAGTTCCGGGTACCCCAGAAGCCTGTGTTAGTATCCACCATGTTGTACAGCCTCCACAGAAAGCACTTTCTAGCCACATCGGGCAGAAGCCTCAGCACCCCGGGACTGGTCTGTCTCCTCACTGTCCTCAGAAGACCATCTGGACATTCCCGCTTCCTTGGGGATGTTGAGGCTGTTCCTTCTATCTTTAATACCTGCTTCTTTTTCTCTGAATTCTACCAATTTGCCAAGACTCAGCTGAGCCCTCCCTCTCGGAGACCTTCTCCTTGCCCTAGATATTTTTATAACTCTCTCTCCAACCAAACTATTGGAGCGCAGAGGCTGCTGCTTCTAGCAGAGAGCCTCTGTTAGCCTGCAGAACACCCCGGCTCCTCAAAACAAGACCAAACCTTTATGAAAAGCACTGCCTCCCCCTCCTCTGGAGAACACGCTATTTGGTAGAACCTCATGCCAATGCAAACTGCCAGCCCTGTCTTTGACTTGGACATGGCTCTCTATTAACAACTCAGTAACCACAAGCTTTACTATCTGCACCTGGGGTGTTTCTGATTCTCTCTCCCTTTCATATGGAATTTGGTTTTCATTGTTATCATTTTCTTCTGATTGTGCTATTAATTCCAATTCTCTCTGAACCCCCAGGAATCCTGCTGGAATTCCCATCTGAGCACAGGTTCCCTTGTTTGTCCGTAGGACAACAGCCATCTCATTTCTCTAGTGTTACAGTGTATGTTCATCATCATAAAATCCCGATGTGAAAATAGCTAAACTCGACAATACTGCTTGGGAAGAGTGGTTCCATTTGGGCACGCAGTTTCTGGAAGGAGAACATGGGCGGCTTCTTGGATGAAGATGTTCTTTTCTTGACCTAGGAGCTGGCAAGTGGATGTGTTCACTTTGTGAGAACTCCTTCAGCGTTACATTCAGGAGTGTAGGAATATTCTATTTTCTGTAAGTATATTCTAGTCCAATAAGAAGTTCTAAAATGCCTTTTGCAAACATACTAATGTGCAACTGGTCTTTTTTTGCAGAAATGCACACCTCATTTTCTTCATGCAACATCCTTATAAAAGGATTGGTAAGACCATTTTACTAGCCGTAGGATGGAAGAAAAATGTGAAGCAATTCTCAAAGTGCCGTATAACAAATTTGGGTAGTCTGGCGTTTAAGGACAAATCTGATCTCAAGACTGCTAGCCCTCACTGCCTACTGCTAATCGATTCCTACGAGAAGCAGATGCTCTGATTGAGAAAACCAAACGCACATCATGAGGCAAGGAATCAAAACAGTTCTCTGAAACACAGCATACAAAGGAAGTGGGTAACAAGTCCAAATGGTGACATTTAACAACCTTTAAGTGGTCAGGCACTTGGCCATCTTCAGACCTTGTACAAGTAAGGAATTGGCTCTACCACAAACAGAAAAAGCTTCAGCTTTTGTTTATGTCCCCCCAAATTCATATACGTATGCTGAAATCCTAACCCCCAGTGTGATGGTTTAGGAGGTGAGGCCTTTGGGAGGTGAGTAGCTCATGAGAGTGGAACCCTCAGGGATGGGATTAATGTCCTTACAAAAGAGGCCCAGAGCGCCCCCTTGTCCCTTCTGCCACGTGAGGACACAAGGAGACGTCAGCAGTCTGCAGCCCAGAGGAGAGGCCCTCGCTAGAACTCAACCACACTGGCACCCTGTTTTCAGACTTCCAACATCTAGAAATGTCACAAATAAATGTATGTTGTTTACAAGCCACCCAGTCTATTGTAGTTTGTTACAGCAGCCCAAACAGACTAAGACAACTCATTAACAATGGGTCAAGCACAGACTAAACACTCTATATACATACTCTCATTAAATCTTCACAACAACCCTAATTTTACCTTTGCTTCACAGATGAGAAAATAGAGACATAGGGAGGTGAGTGAAGGTTAAAAGGTTACAGGGTTATTAACTAGCAGGGCAGATTCAACCCAGGCAGCCAGAACTCCAGAATCCATGCTCTTAACCATGATGCTAGATACGCCTTTGGTTGTGATGCACCCAGGGACGGGTTTCCGACTTCTAGTGTGTGACTGACACCGTCTGGTGTGCATCACAGCTCAATAAAATGTGCTTGTTCAAATACACAGAATTAGAAGAATCTTGACAAGCATACCCAACTCCTTCGTAAATGGCAGCCTGATTTACAGAGTGGAGTTCTACCTTCAGAAAGATTTATCCTAATAGATGAGTGTCCATGTCTACCTTTTTTCTACCTGGGTATTTCCACCTTATTTATGGGAAATCCAAAGACAAAACACTTGGTCTACCTGAAGCCACAATCAGCCCAGATGAGATTAGAAGGGTCAGCAGTCTTCCTTTCTTTTCCATTACGAAAGATGTATTGCTTTTTAGCAAAGTACTTGCTCATCCTGCACTCCTTGAATAAGCAAAAACTGTGGCCCAATTGCATGGGCAGAGCTCAAGAAAACTAAAATAAAGAAAACTTGTGTTGGATGTCTGTAATGGTATTTTTGACTATCCTTTTAAAGAAACATTTTGGTAAGAGCATTTTGAATCTATTTTTCTTTTCAAGCCACGCTGACCTTTACAAAAGGTAAAATTGCTCGCCTATGTGTCTCTTGAGGAATTTAAATGGGGGAAAAACAATCATTTAAATATAATGGTTGATTTAATTAATTCTCTTCATTTTGGCTTGTTGAGGTAATTAAAATACTCTAATGAGACTTTTCCCCCACCTAAGGCATCTTCCCGCCCGCCCCCACCCCCCAAGTTTCTGTGACCATCAGGTGAGACAGAAATTCAAATCTGGGGGAAAAAAATCAACAACATTCCTCAAATGATTGTCAATCCTGGTTTGGTTTTAGGGGAGTTTGAAGTCTACCTTCTAGCTCAGGACCCCTTTTCAGATAAGCAGACTTCCTCACACGTATATTCTACACACCCTTAATAGGTAATATTTTTTCTACCTAGAATTAGCATAATGATCTCTACTACAGGGGGCCCCAGACAACCAAGTGTCTGTGGTGTCACCAAGTTCCCCGGGTCACCATCCAAACGGCAATCCCCGGGCACTTCAGGTTCTCGGTCAAAGCTCTGAAATAAGCCTCCTCAAAACTGCCAACACTGAGCAAAATCATGCAGGGAACTTCCCAGGACCAGAGGCAACGTGACCCAGAACTGGGCAAACCGGAGCTGCTTATCCGCGGCGTTGCCCCGGCTGTGGGGCTCGGCGAGGCCGCCCGGGGATCGGGGATGCGGGGATGCCGCCCGGGGATGCGCGGCGGCCCGAGGTCCTCCCGGGTTTTCCGCTGCTCGGGTGGGGGGTACGGTGGGTCGCGGCCGCCCGAAGTGACACGGGGCCCCCGGGCCCGGCTGGTGGGACCTCTGACGATGCTGACCTCAACTTTGTTCTTTAAAAATAGCTCGGCCGCCGCGGCACTCACGTGAGCGGCCCCGCTTCCCCTCCGGCTGCCGGGGCTCCCGCGGCCCCCCGTCCCCGGGGTCGCAGGGGGGAAGGGCGGTGTCCCCGCGCCGCGGGAACAGGCGGGACCCCCGGCCCGGCGGAAGCAGGGGGCGCTGGCCGGGGCGGCGGGCCCGGGCCGGGGGGCGCAGGCCGCGCTCACCTTCTTCACCGACAGCGAGATGTTCTCCAGGATCCGGTCCTTCACCTCCTGCGGCTCCATGGCGCCGCCGCCGCCGCCGCGCCGCCGCCGCTTCCCGCGCCGGGGGCCCGGGGCCGCCGCCCACCGCTGCCGCCGGCCGTGCGGGGGCTCCGTCGTGCCGGCCGCGGGGCCCGGCGCCCGCCGCCCGGCCCTCGCCTCGCGCGGGCCTCGCTCCGCCGGGAAGGAGGCCGCGGGCTGTGCGCGGCGGCGGCGGCGGCAGGAACTGATGTCAGGCGGGGCGGCGCCACGGCCGGCGGCCGGGCTGGGACGCGGCGCCTCGCCCGCGCCTGGCGACCCCGGGGCCCCGCGGGCACCCCCGGGCTCGGGCCCGGGCGCCCGGCCCTCGCCAGCCCACGACCTCCGGCCTCGGCCCAGCAAACCGGGGCCCCCGGGGCTCCCCCGGCGGCCCCGAGCCCCGCCGCCCGCTCCGGCCGGGGACCCTGGAGGCCCCGACGGACCGCGGGGCCCGGACGCCCTCTCGGCACCCCCCGCCTCGCCCCCGAGGCCCCCACCATGCCGGCCCCCGCCCCCCAGCCCAGGGTCCCCGGCACCCCGCCTCAGCCTGCCCTCTGCGGAGCCCGGCCCCTGGCCCCCCGGCCCCCCGACCCCCTGCCCGCGGTCCCTGCCCCCCTCCCCCCAGGCCTGAGCTGCCAGGTGGTTTGAAGTCGGGGCCCACAGCACCCCCTTCCCACCTCCCCTCTGCGCGTCACCTTCAGTCCCAGGGCCCCTGCCCAGCCTCTCCGTCTCCCAGCTCCTCGGCGCGGCCACAGGTCCCGGGGCCCCGACCCCCTCAGCCCTGAAGCACGACGCCCCACATCCCTACACACACCCCTCTCCAAAGTCACCGTCTCTTAAAGCCACCTCCACTTTGAGTTCTCGGTCTCTTACCTGGCTAACGACTCATTTGGCCCCCGAATAAATTCATTCCTGATACATCCATTACTCCCCCCCCTTTCCATTCTTTTTTTTAAATGTCAATATATATTCATTTTATCATTAAAAAAAACTGAGAAGGAATTGACATTTCAGGTGCACGAAATGAGTATATATAAAAATAATGCATCTATGTGTGTATATATATAAACTATATATATAAATATTTGTCCCCTCTTTTTATTCTTAAAATACCCCAGTTCCTAATCTCTGCTGACCACCCCCTCTCCCATTTTCCCTCTTCCGTGCTTAGGCTACCCCTCCCTCAGCCTCCCAGACCTGGTCAGCCTGGTACCCACCTGAAACACTGATTCTAGGGCTTATTCTAGATGGGCCCCCTCCCACACCCCAAACACACCCAAAAGATGCCTTCCCATCCCTCAGTCTCACCAGAGGAGACCCAAGATGGTGGTTATTTTGTTTTGCTTTTTTGTGACTGCATAAGGGAACAAAATCATGTGTCAGGAAAAGAAAAGAACAGCTACTTGTGAAACTCGGATTGGACGACTACTTGAGAAACTATTCTATTACCACTTCAGGATCAAGGGCAAGAGTCCTTCATTATAATGATGATGGTAAGTGCTGAGTACTATGGGCCATGCACTGAACTAAGTGCTTTACATACATGTGTCTCATGTATCCTCACAAAGCACTTCTTGTACAGATGAAGAAACTCAGATGGGGACAATTTGCCTAAAATCATAAGCAAATGGTAGAGCCCAGAAACCATTTGTATCCTCTTCTGAGCCAAAGATCCCTTTACATTTCTTCATAGTACTCATAGGAGCTTGGTCTATAACTCTTTAGGGGAAACCCTCAGCCCTAAAGCACACGGCAACAACGCCCCACGTCCCTTTACATTTATTCATACTACTCATAGGATGAGTCTCTAAACCCAGGGCATTTTCTTATGAAAATGTGTTCTGGAAAATAAGAGAGAACAGCCTGTGTGGAGTGACAGGTAGAATGACAGGTGGGAATGGAGGCTGCAGTTGCTGGCCAGGTAGAGAAAAGGCCGAGAGCAGAAGACACATTACTTTGAATGAGGAAGGCAACTGTCAGGTGTCCAAAGGTGTGTGTGGCAAATAGGAGGAAGCTGGCTTGAGTGACCAATCTAATAGCCTTGGTGTGCTCCCGGCCCACTCCACCCAAGCTAGGGCCTACATGACCAAACTTGTTATCGGCTGCAACTCAGGTTCCTGAGAATCCATTCAGCCCACAGCAGAACCAGTGAGCTTTGTGGTTCTTCCCTGCTGTTTAATAGCAAGTCATTTTTGAGGCTGCACCTTCTGCTGGGCACCACCTTCTTATAAATGGCTACTTGAGGCTTGGGCACATGACAGCCTCAATGGATGTCTTTATTGCTTGGTGGTATACCTATGATGTACGAATGCGGCATTTATGCATATTGTTTTCACCTTCATCACTGGGGGATGGGCACAGTCAACTTTTTATAATATTCAACAGGAACGTACCATCTCACTGCCTACTTAATTCCTAAGGTTTGCATAGGTATGTAAGTGGGTGGGAGAAGAGAGGCACATTTTACTCTCACAAGACTTCTTGAAGGAAGGGGAGGGGGCCAAGTATGTGTTCACGGGCAGGTAATTGCCCCATGCCCAGATCTCAAATATGGAATCCATCCTTGCCTGTCAAAAACAAGGCAACTCAGAAACATAAAAACAAACAAACAAAAAACTCAGGATGCCTATCAATCTTGTTATTGGGAGTCCTGTAAACTCAACCGAAGCTCATTTATTTATTGCTCAAGACTTTACTGAGCACGTGCAAAGTGCATGAGATTCTGAGGCATCAGGAGTCAAAAGCCTCAACTGACTCATGCTAAAGCCTTGGGCAGATACTCTTAGTTTCCAAACTAGTGACAAAGGAAAAATGAATTTTGTTCTTCTTTTTACAGTGTTGTCGTCACCTACGTCTCCCACTGTTAAACTCCATCAGATGAGGGAACCACTTGGAAAAGCAGATACGATTGTAGAGACACCACAGATTTGGCCCATGGGTCTCCTTTACTCTTCTTTCCAAAGGTGTGTACTGCCTCAGAGAGGAAAAAGATAGGAAAAGATTCTGTCACATCCTTAAAAGGTCATTGGTCATGACTGTTAAAAAAAAAAAAAGAAAGGTGGAGGATAGTTTAAGAGACTAATTCCTTCCTTTCCCCAAACTCCAGGCGAATATATTTGCATTTCCAAAGGAGGGAGTAAATATGTCCTTGGCCATCAGGCTGGTAAAGTTGATCTCCACCTGAGAAGGAGAGATAGGAGGGGCTGGTTGTACGTAACAGCAATGCTCCAGATTCCCATGCCTTCACTCCAGCACCTACAAGTACAGACCATCTTTAACACTAGGACCGAGTAAACCAAAACAAGGCAGCTTTAATCTAGATGATCTTATTTTAAAGTGTTACAGTTCCCTCCTCTTTACTGTCCAGTCAGCAAGATGGGTTGAAAATTGGGACATTAACCTCCTAGCTTAAAAGCCTCCACTAGCTTCCTGACATAGCATGTGGAATGACATCTCTACCCTTTTCTTTGGCCTCCAAGGCTACAGCTGGTCTGATACAACCTCTCTCCATGACTCATCTCTCAATTTCTCTGCTGGTGTGTGCAGGCCCCACAACCTTTTGTTTCTCAAACATGTTAGTGCGTTCACCTCTGAGGGTCTTTGCAGGGTTGCTCTGCTCCATTGTAGCAGAGGCCTCTACTGCTCCCTGAAACCTGCTCTCTCCACAGCGGGAACACTGTAAGCCAGGTACAGGGCTAGACTACATTCCCCAGCCTCCTTTGCAGTAGGCATGGCTATTTTATCTGCTCTCGAATGGAACGTGAACAGAAATAAAGCAATCCACCTCTAGGCTGGGCTTCCAAGAGAGTGGATATTCCTTCTCCACGCTGTTTCTTCTTCCAGAAGGTGAAATGAAGCAAAAGGGGTGTCAGACTTACAAGATGTGAAAAGCCTGGTTCCCTGAATCATTGCATGGAGTGCTGCCCTTCAAGCAGGAACTTGTCTTGGACTGTAACACAGGCAAGATAAAGACTTTTTTTGCAGTGAATTATTGACATTGTTGGCCTCTTTGTTCCCTCAGCCTAGCCTAACACAATATATCCTAAATCCTCACTTAGCAGCAGCCTTCTTGTCAGTCAGGTCTCAACTTAAATGTCAGCTTTCAGAAGACCTTTCTCCTTGACTACTCAACCCTAAGCAGCCTCTAGGCCTATCCAGCATGCCAATCGACTACCTGGCATTTTCTTTGTTTGTCGTTAACTCTTCAAAGAGACTGCTATAGTGTAAGCTCTAGGGGAACATATCTTTGCTCAGTTCTTGCATGCTGTATTCACAGCACCAATTCAGTGTCTGGCACACGATACTCAATGTTTATTGAATTAATATCTTCTGACTGTTAATTCAGTAGAGATGCAGAAAATTTTTTTAGCTGTCCACAGAAGTGAAAGGACAGAAGAGAACTAGGGCCAAATAGAAGGCTGCTTCTCTTTATACCTGTTTTGGGCTTTTCTGTTTTAGGAAGAAAATGGATGAGGAACTATGGTCAACGTCTGTACAATCACAGCTGAGAGGTGCTGTTTGCCAGTGTTCCAAATTAGTCTTCTATGTGGGTTAATATGGAAGCCTACACACTTACTAACCTCAGAATGTCATGTCTTTGAATCTTCATTAAGCTCAAACTCAGCAATCATCCTGGGCTAGAGCCCCTAAATTTGCAGTCTGACTTCAGTGACCTGGCTGGGTTTCAAGCACAGTTCTGCCAGTCAGTCCACCTACAGTACAACCCCTTAGGGCCTCTGAGACGAGAAACAGAGGCAGCGTGATGGTGTTACCGGTGAACTCAAGGCACATCCAAGTGCCCCTGTGCACTGAGCACAGTCTTAGGTACTGTTGCTACAGTAGCGAAAAGGACAGATATAAATCCCTACCCTCATGGAGCTTATGTTCTAAGGGGGACAAACTTAATAAAAAAAAGACACAGCAGTGAAACACAGAGTATGTTAGGTAGTGGTCAGTACTAAGGAGAAAAATGAAGAGAAGTGACATAGGAAGTGGAGGCACATGGCTTCGATTTTACTGAAGTAGCCAGAGAAGCCTTTCTGAGATATTTGAGTAAAGACCTAAAGGAAGTGAGAGAAAAGGCCATGACAGGGTCTGGGGAAAGAGCATTCCATAAAGAAACAGCAAATATGAAGACCTTACCGAGCATGGTGAATTCAGGGAGTTGACGTCAGAGAGGTAGACAGGACCCACGGAAGGGTGCTGAGAGGTGTGATCAGGGTTAACAGGCCCATCCTGGCTGTGCTGAGGACAGAATGTAGGTAGACATGGACAGGAGCAGGGAGACCTATTGCAGCAACCCAGGTAAGACGGGATGGTGCCTGGGACCAGGGTTCTAGAAATGATCAGCTTTCAAATGTACTTTGAACCGAAGCCAGCAGACTTTAGGATGCGTTGTGTTGCTTGTGAAAGAAAGGAGTAAAGGTTTCGAGTGAGCACCTGGAAAGCTGAAGTTGCACTTACTTCTTGGGGAAGACTGTGAGAGGGGCAGGTGGGGGGCGGTGGAGTTCTTTTTGCTCAGGGTACCTCAATTTCAGATCCCTGAAGTCCAATAGGGGAAAGGTTGGCTTTTAGTAGCTTTCTAGGAGGAACCAAGCCACTCCTGCTCTAATGTCTTTTTCTGGGACAAAATGCACAGGTAAGGATTGGTGACGTTGGCTAGTCCCATTAGTACACCACTAGCTCTGACCAGGGATGCGGGATCTGGGGACGATTTAGCCCTTTTCTGTAAGGTGGCGATATGCTCTGCTTACTATGTATTTTAATTTTAGCTCTGTGTTCTTTTTTCAGTTCTTATGTTCCTACTTTTGTATTTCTACTTTTAAATGTATACCCTATCCTTTCATTTCCTCCTCCAACCTATAGGCATATAGATTCCTGCCATAAACCTCCCAATGCATTTACCTTCCTGATAGTTTCTAAGTTTGTATATTAACTCCTCACAATTTCTACCACTTTGAGTACTAGAAGTCTCATTTGAAATGAAATTATCAAAAGATTGAGATCTGAACAAGAGCAAAATAATTACCTCTTACCTCCAACTAGAAGTATCCTTTCCTCCCATCGTTCTTTTTAAATAGATAAGGAAGTGTAACAGAACAAGGGGAGATTTCCCCAAGCTACTCCCCGTACAGACCAGCTGGTACACGTACATTGAAAACCTTTCATATTAAGGCCCCACAGCACAAACCCACAAACGCAATGACTCCACTTGGTTACCACCCCAGGATGTTTCTGAGTTACTCATAAATCTCAAAATGATTAATAAGTCACTTTAAATTAAAAAAAAATTAAACACAGACACACATCACTTAGAAGCTCTGAGACAGAAAAGTCCCGAACCCTCAACAATAGGAAACCAATTCTCAACAGTTCAGAATGAACGGTCTCAGCTGTATTAACTGGGAGTCAAAACGAAGACTGTTCCCTGACCAGACATTGAGAAATGGGTATTTTCTGTGAGGTGAAAACTGGGTTAGGTGGTTTCTTCTAACTGGGCCCGGAGCTAGTCTGCGTTTCCCCACCTCTCCTTCAGCTAGGTGTGGCTGGCAACTGATTTTGTGCGAGAAGTGGTATATACCAGTTTCAGGGCCGGACAGTGAAAACTGCTCAAGCTTGATTCTCTCTTCTATCATCTTCCAGTTGAACACTGAAGGCGAGGGCAACTGTGAAAGCAGGTGAAAATGGCAGAGTTGCTGCTAGCCTGTTTCTGGAATGATAGTAGGAAGTGTCTTCCTACCTCTGTGGACTTGGACCCACATTGGGTTGTTAGTGAAGGAGAGGTAAGGTTGTATTTTGTGAAGCTACTGATATTTGGGGTGTGTTACAACAGTTAGCCTATGTTAATACAGAAATTGGTACTGAAATGGGATGTTCACCAAAAAACCTAAAATAAGACACTGTCTTGGGGGTCAAGAAGGAAATAGACATAGGTAGGGTAGAAAAATAGAGACCCATGTTATTCAGGGGGCAAAACATCTGGTAAAAGTATCTCCTGTGGCAACTGGGAAGGTTGATCATATTAACTACATAGCCTGGAGCTCTAGTCTAAGAGGATGGGTTGAAGACTCATGTTCTGTGTCGACTTTTACATCATAAATATCTGAGAAAGACTGAAGCTTAGGGAAGAACTGGCTCATTGTAAGCAGAATTGAAAAGGAATAGAGCCAAGAAACTTGGGGCCTTGAAGGGTTGAAATGTCCTTGTTTTAGACTTAAGGTAGTAAGACATGTTTGAAATAGACTTTGAACACCAAGGCCTAGTAAGACTCAGCCCTGTAGCAAAAATCATAAAGGTTTTTACATTCAAAACTATTTCAGATGAACTCCAGATAGATACCTTTGAAAGCAGACTGGCAGTGAGAAGGCAATGAAATAAACCAGGCTTGAGGACTGTGTATAGGGAAGAACTGTGGTCACTGACATACAGAATTGACTGGAGCAAATAGATCAGAAGCCTATTAAATGTTATTATTTTGCCAAAGAAACAACAAATCCAGATTTCAAAAGACATCCTTTTCCAAGCCTTTATCCAGCCCTCAGTCCCCCAGACTTGGACCAGCGGTGAGCTGAGAGAGCAGGACTAACTCCCAAGGCAGGCGGACTGAACACCTACCGCAGAAGGGGCCGGGGACAAGGGAGAAGGGAGTTCCTCCCCAAGATCATTAGAATCTTGAATAAAGGAACTTCCCATCCCTTTCACAATGCCTGTCAGCATGATTTCCGGGTTGCTGGGGGGCAGTGACAGCTGCACTTCCCATTCTTCCCATTTCTGAATGGGATTTGTTATTGCAGTTGTTTCGTCTCTATTCTAAAACCACATACGGGGCAGGAGCAGATTGCCAGGTTCAGTTTGCTAGACCACAAAGCACCACAATCAACTCCTGAAGGACAGGGTACCACGGGGAATTCTGGACAGATGTCAGCTTAACGATGAGACAGTTTATAAGGTCATGTCTTTAGGGAAAAGGGTATTATGTGTGGTCTACATGTGAGGTGAAACTGAAGCATTGCTAGGTGACACCAAGCTGAACTCATCTTCTTGGGCACATGAGCAATTATATTTTACAGCCTCCCTTGCAGTTTGGTATGGCCATGTGACTGAATTCCAGCCCGTAAAATGTGGGTAGTGACGTGTACCACTTCTAGGCTGGTATAAAAACTCCTATGCACAACCTCATTCTCTTTTCCTGGTATGTTAGCTGGATGTTGACATCCCAAGTGATTCTGGAAGCCACATGTTAAAGACAGCGCAGCTAGTCTAGGACCCTCGATGACTACATTGGGCAGAGAGAGCCACACTGGACGGTTAAGACTTGCCTAGCTACTGGAAATTCCATGTAGTGTTCTCAAATCCCTTATATGATAAAATGAATACTAGCTGATAAGTAACAAGCACTTACTATGTGCCAGATACTGTTCTAAGTACTTTACAAGTACTAACTCATCTAATCCCTACAACCATTCTTGATAATCATTTTACAGATGAGGAAACTGCAGCATGGAAAGGTTAAGCAACTTAACCTAGTCACGCACACAGCTGGCAAGTAGCAAGGCGAGAATTCAAACCCAAGAATGGCTGTAGAAACTAGTCTGACCCAGAATACCTCATTGCAGTGTCATGTCCATTACCACACAGTCTCCCATGCACAGCAGTTCCATCTTTCACATCAGGACACAGTTGTCCCCCTGCAATGGTACCTGGAAGTAACTTTAATGGCTTGGAGATGGCCCATTTCTTCTGGGGTTCAGGGACATGGCTGCAAGACACAATGGCTGGGTTTAGTTATTTAAGAGGGCAGAGAGAGACAAGGACACAAGTTAAGTAACCATCTTAATTATAAAGAAATCGATCAAACAAGAGTCTTATGATAAAAACTTTTATTGTCTTAAATATCAAATGTTTTACACATCACTTTTTCTTCAGAAAGTTCCTATTAAAAAAAGAAAAATAAAGTGTTTTGATTATTCAGGACTGCCTTACATTTCAGTATGTGACAAAAACTCAAACCCAAATGCACCTAGTACACTCAGCTGCAGACGGGTCCTGTGTCCAGCCCCTAAACCAATGGCACAATGCAACCAACCATGGGATTCCTGAGTTTGGTTCCCGTAAGTTCTCAGAGTTTCCCAACTCTCAAAACCAAAACATTATGGGAGTGACTGAGCTATTGGCAAGCCTACTTTACCAATTAGGCTAGCTCTTCCTGTAAGATGCAGTAGTCTCAGAGCATGTAAGTCAGGAAAGCAATACATGACCGATTGCAAGAATAAGGGAGAAAAGAGGGGTTTCTATTTGCTAAGATTTGCCAAATATGGCTACAGAACTGGTAAACAAACCTTGAGCGCAAAGGCCATTAGCCCAACTTGCCACGAAAGATGAGCTTTTGAATAAAAATGAGCAAATCAATATTCACTGCAGGTGCATAGTGAAAAAAGCAAATGCAGTCAGTATGTTGAAATGCTCTGATGTATCAACAGACCTATTTCAAAAGGATAATCAGGAGAACAGCGAATGGAAAAACAATGATTCAGAGGGAAAGGTCTCCGATGGGTGGCATAAACTCAGAAAAAGACGGGGTTTTCAGGGAAGGAAGAAGAAATCTGGTCACCATCAGATTATCTCAGATGGAAGGAATCTGGAAACAAACTGACCTGACACCTCTGGCAAAAATTAATTGAGGCCCAAACTTTCTTTAAGCCACAGATGCATTCATTTAAGATTGTGTGTAAAACTCCTGGTAAACAAAATCATTTCCCATCAGACATGTATTTTCCCAGGAAAAAATATCCCAACATGCCCCTTCCCCAAGTCAGCTAATGGAAATGTTTTTATGGTACATATTTAAAGAAATAAATTCTGTAAAAGCTATCCTAATTTGAGTTCCACACCTCCACCCCAGGTCTTCTATAGTTGGCTTATTAGCTTTTTTAGGTAAAAGAACATTCTCTAACTCCTACGCCCTTGAATCATTTTCTCTGTAGATTTCATCCCATAAGATTGTGCCCTAAAACTTATGAGCTGTATAAGTTTTCATAGCCTTTCACCTTTCACAGCCCCCACAGGGTCTAGAGTCCCATGACCAAAACGTAAGTGTACACCTGTGTTTTTTCTAACTGCAAACTTCAGAAGCCACTAGAAGATCCAGAAATTCTCCCTGTATGCCTTAGGAACTACAACATACATAATATTTTAAATAATGGGTTAAAGAATGTCCTTTTGATGGAGCTGTACTATAGAAAGATGTGACAGTTTGAGTCTTCTTGTAAATAAATTCTGCCCACCATCCATTTCCAGAACCACACTTGCTACATTTTCTGCTCTAGATTCCTATTTTCACATCTTGCACTCAGATGCTTTCAAACAGCAAATCCTGCAGAATCCTCTGCTAAGTGCTGGTGACCCAGATGGACAGACAGTATTCTAGAGCAGTCGTACTCAAGGGGGAATGGGGGGCATGCAACGACAGCACACTCCCTCTCTACCCTGCGTGGAAGGAGGTCCTGATGGAAAGAAAAGTTGACTGTCCCTGGCACATATTTAGGATCTTCATCCCTTATTTGTACTTCTATCCTGCCCATTTACCCCTGGCTCCCCAGCAGTACACATTGATTTCTGAATACCTGATCTCCAAGTATTTCTACTAAATGTTAGAAGATTTTTTGTTGGTTTCTCTGATTCCCTTAGGATTATAAAAAAAAAAAATTTAGAGCAGCTTTAGGTTCATGGCATCCAATTCCATTTTGAGCTTGATTTTCCCAGTCTTCTCTGAATTTGAACCAAATCATCCTAGTATGAGTTTTAAAATAAAAGCATGCTAACAGGCAAAAGTAGATTTTTCTCTTGAAGCTAAAATTTCATTTATGGTTCCTTACTAGACTACAAGCATCATGAAGGCAGGCTTCCAATCTGCTTTAAGTACCCCCTGGGTCTACAGTGGTCACGAGTACCTGGCACACAGGCACTTAATTTTAATGTTTGATGAACGAATCAATGAATCCTATTCAAAAACTCACATGGCATAGACTTCAAGAGAGTATTGGTTTCCTGTTCAAATATGTAACTTTCTTGAACGTTTTCTCTGCCTTTACCACCATGATACTGGTAGTATAACAAAGAACAAGATAAATGTCTAGAATTCACATTTTTTTGGCACTCCTGATGCAAAAAAGCCTACGATAACTTTTCCATCTAGGGAAATCTAATGTTTGGTGCAGGATAATTCTGAATTAATAATACAGGGAGGCCTCAGGACCACTTCCTGCAGGCCCTCTACCCTCAGGAGGGCTGTTTTCAAACTTCCCCGATACTTCCACTTTCACTCCCTAGCAAAATCTGATGCCTGTGCTATTTGGCAAAACTAAGGCACAAGAGAAAACCAAGTACATCAAAGGTTCACCCCTAAATTCTTTAGTTCATTTGATGAGCTGCTGCTGAGGGGCCGCTAAGAACAGAACTTGAGCCATGGTTACATTTCCAGTTCGTAAGGGCATGCTTTGAATTTACTTGGTGACGAGGAATTGGTATTTTTAATTCTTTCAGGGAAAGAGCTATTTTTATTTTATGGAACTCCTAACACGAAAGGTAACATTTATCATGTAGGAAGAGAAACTCTTGGTAACTGTTTTTCCAGTTCAGCCACAGACTATATTTAAAGTCACCAAATTCCAAAGAGAAACAGGCTTTTGGGACTTGTGCTGCAGAATGGCAGAATGCATAATCCCGTTCAACTTCTCTTAGGATATGTCACCAGTGACAACAAGTTTGAAAAATCTAGCAGTTCAGTTATCCTGCTGACCTCACTGTAGGTGACAAACAGGTAGTAAAAGGAAATCAGAATGAACTGCAACTGTCCAGGCTAGTTATTTGGAAGGCTGTTTTCCATATGTTGTGAAGAATATATCTGTATATATAAAATTTATTTGCCTTTTAATCTATGTAAAATTAACTGTAGGATATTTGTCTATCACACATTTATATACACATAAGCTTATGGTTAAACCAACTAAATTTTTATGGCTTTTACTAGAGATAGAAAGCTGTGCCAAGGGAATAGGCAGATTGCACTTTACTGGTTATCATAAAACCAGTGACACAGTCTCGTATGTATCTTTCCATTTTTATGCAACCCTCTTGCTGGAGAAATACTTTGGGAAAAAACATGGGCTCTGTCTCCCTTGAGTACATATGGAGATAAGGAGCTCTAGAAAGTTTCATAGGTTGGAAGGCGGAATAGTTTTAACACTCTCACCATCTGTCCGGTTTCCTTTGCTAAGCAACTGTACTCTTTATATGTTAATGGCTAAAGCCCAAATGTGGGAGGAAGGCTACTGGCTGATGTCTGGAGGCCTAAACAGGTGCAAATGGGAGTAATTCTTACTAGCTTCAATGGGAAAATCTATAGTCTAGGTACAGCTGTCTTGCTTACCAAGCACATTTTTACACACAGGAACCAACGCAAGGGAAACTGCAGAAGTCATACAGGAAAATCTCCTCTCTTTGGTGAACACCCAGAGACCGCCCTCGGAGGTAGGTGGGGACAACAGAGCTGTCCGTTACTGGTTATGGAAGAGGCTGTCCAGTAAAGGTGCCCACTACTGTTTATGGCCAGCTGGTACCAGTTCTGTTGGCAACTGGAGGAGTTCACAATAATTTTATCTTATTTTGGGGGAAGTTATCTCTGATTTCTGTATTTTGAATAAAAATTGACAATGAAGGTTCACTAGTGTCATGTTCCTTAATTCCCTTTGTTTTAGAACTGCTAAATTTAAAAATGATTCAAAATCCTAATAATGCCAACAGCTTTACTTTCACACAAACAATGGACAGGAAATAAGATTTTAAAAATCAAACGCAATTATACATTGAAATGATAAAACAGAAGACATTTGGCAAGTGGGTTAAGCTCAAAGTATTCCTAACAAGAATACATGTATGACTATAGGCCTATTCAATTTTCTCCAAAAAATAAATATACATATACACACATAAAAAGCTATCTTGATAAAACCTTTTCTGGACTGATATTCTGTATTCCACCTGGGATTGATTCCCAAACCTCCACAAGGTGAAAATTCAGTGGCCAAACCTCTGAGCAGTGTGCGATACTGTTCAGACAGAAAACCATGAGGCCTTCTTCACACGGAAGACCTTTTGGGAGCAGTCTACTGTCACTGATAAGTTCCCCCACCCCACACCAGCCCACTCTGTGACCCTTAAAGATTTGTAAGTTTAGAATAAATTCCCAATCACCACCCATAAAGCAAATACAGGGGCCCACTGCATTGCTACTACATTGCTTCAATCATAGCACCAACTATTTAATTACAGTCATAGCTCTAACAGTCAGTTGACAGAAATGCTATTAGGCGGTATCCTAGTGCATCTGACATCTTTGGTGTAGGACAGGCAAAAGGGTCCACAACACGTGATTGTCTAAAACAACATTTTAAAGACAATCTGGCTGACCAGCTGTTCTGAGCACCCTCCTGAAAATGGTAAACTTCAACTCCTTCCTTCCGTCAACCATTTCCTAACTTAAGAGGATTGTGATGAATCTACATGACATCACACCACTTTTAAGTCTCATAAAACACATACAAACATCATTGCAAAAAGGAAGATGGAATAGGGTAGAAATGTCTGTAAGTGCCCCCAGATTAAAACTTCAAAAACTCCTGAGATATGAGCCTCTGTTTTGATTGTGCTCAATGACTTGAATTTTGATGGAAGGGATATGCTTTCAAAGAGAGTAAGACGTTAGACAAAATCATTTAACACTAGGTTCACAGATCACCCCTTCAAAGCTGTGCTTCAAACACAATGCAAACTATGACCTGGAATCAGGAATTATCACTCTCAAAATCTTTTTCAATAAAACCAAGATTTCAGCTTCCTGGTAGCTATGTAAGAGTTTATTTTCCAGGAAAAAAAATTACTTATTATCTATCCAATAGGATTATTGCACAGTGGGGCCCACAGGACAATGATTTCCAAGGGCTAGTCCTCATATAAAGGCCACAATAAATACATCTATATACTATGCCCCACTCTTAACTTGACATGGTAAACACAAACATGACAAATCTTGCTTTAAAAAGAAACTCCTGAGGAAAGAAAGGGATGGAAAACTCTACCAAGGCCACTTGAGTCAGAAACTGCAATCGCTAATATCCACTGCCATGAAGGACACTCACCAAATAGACGGCCATACCCCGAGCACCACAATGGAGCACTCACTAGGTCGCCACACTTGGGTGTTCCACTCAGATCACAGGGCAATCTGAGCCTTAGAAGAACTTCCTAGAAGATGAGTTTTGAAAGGAAATAAAGTCTGGCAATCAACCCATTAGCTGAATTTTAAGCTCCTTATTTGTCATTAAAGGTTGAGGTGTGATCAGTGAGATGCTAGCAAACCGAATCTCTAGTAAATTCCAGTGTTTAGGCCATTATTTTTCACTCACAGTTCTTAAAACATCACCAGGACATTTGCAAATGGAATTACAGGGTTTTTTTCCCCCTTTTTTATCTGGGTAGCACCATGTTTCACTCTAATGTGAATTCCCTCACAACATTCCACCCAAAGTATTTGGCAATCCATGCAGCAATCTGTGATGTACAAAGTAGCCTAAGTTTTAACCCCTCCCAACTCATCCCACTAAAATGTCAAATCCTAACCACATGATAGAACAGTACCACTCTAGCAGACAGTACTCAATTATCCTTCAATTCCTGTGATAACTCATGAACCATAATGCACAGAACACTAAGTGTTAAATCCAAACACCAAACCACAGGATCAAGCTTGTCAACTGACAACTGAGCCAGCAAGCCACACCCCGCTACAGGAGAGCCAAAATGGGAAGCTGACCTGCCTTTTAGCTGCACGGGTGATGGGGTTTCTCATGGCTTCTTTTTAAAAACATCCACTCTCATTCTAAAATGGTATGCTATACACGAAACCATCAGTTTTATTCCAGAATACATCATCTTAATAATAAAAAGCTTTTGTATGCACATACTGCCAACACATTTAAAAAGGCCCAAATTTTAACAAATAGAATAGACAAATTCATCAGACAAGAGATTGTAAGTTACTTTGGCCGAAAAAAATCTTTAAAAAAAATCTGGCTCAACATTCTGCTTGCAGTTTTCTACATATATTGTTCACTTGGTGAGTGAGTGACTGTGTGTGTGTGCGTGTGTGTGTAGCTTTCTCAGGGAATGGAGTATGGTCTAAGCCCACTTTTCCATAGTTATGTAGGAACTACAATGTTCTTTGCTAGCAAAACAAGAAGTGCAAGGTCTGCATTTCCACCAACTCGATGCAACGCCCCAAGAGCTTCCTGCAGAGTAAAACCGGCACGGAGAATCCGGTCAATGTCTGCAGCAGGAAAAACTAATGGTGGTGGAAGAATGGAGGGACTTGATAGATGGCTGGTAGGTGGTTCAAATTCAAGAAGTGGCCCTGTAGCTTCAGGGCAGTCATCTTCTCTAGTCTCAGGCATATTTGTCGCTGGGTTCTGCATGCCCTGACCCAAATCTTTAATCAGTATGAAACTGGATGACAAGGACTTGGTCTGCTCAGAAGTCTGATCGAGTGCATGCTCCTCACCTGCTAAAAGTTCGGGTGAAATCTCTGCACCTAAGGTGCAGTGTAATTGATCAGACGTTTTGGCTGAGGCTACAGTGACAGAACTGCTCTCATGTGTTGATTCCCTCGATTTGGGGACACTTTCCCTATCAGTTAACAGGCCATCACTTAGACCCCTGAAGTTAGTATTTTCTAGGTCATCTACTCCAGCAGCAGCTGAAGTGTCTGTGACTTTTCCTGTCTTCACTGCTACAGATACAGCCTGATGAAAGGAGACTCGTGAACACCGTTCATTCTGGGCAGCTCCAAGATCATTTGGGGTCCATCTCTCAGAAAGGTCCCTAATAGCTATGTGGCCCTCGGTCACTGCTTCAGACTGACAGGTCACTTCTTCAGTTGTATTATCTGAAGCTGGTTTGCTAACAACCAAAAGTTCATGAAGTTCCTTCAAGGCTGCTGTTATAGATGAGCAAGATTCCTCTGCTGACTCCACAGAGGGCTGACAACTGCCACAAAGACCTAAAGAGGGGGAAGGATTCCCATATTCTTTATTTGTTTCAGACATTTCATCGTTGCTTTCTAGGAGCCGCAAATCCTGAGGCAAAGTGGAATTACTCAAAATTTCAGATGAAGGGTTACATTTTGATGTTTCCACTTCCATTGGGGGATTATCTAGGGCGACACCAGATGTACCCACGCTCTCGATACTGGCATTCTGACTGCCTGCTGAATTGAGCACAGCAACCAGGGACTGTTCAACTGTATCGACTTCCATCAGCGTTTCCAAGTTCGAGCAGGCAAAGCACCCTGAAGGTAGAATATTTTTCTCTGTACCTGGAAGGTCCACGTTCTGCTGTAGCCTGTCTCCTTTCATAACAGCTTCCAAATCAACACTTTTTTGTTGATGCTGTTGCCTTTCTTCAAGAGGCTGAAGGTCCCCTGTGTTACAAAGATGTTCTCGGTCACATGAAGTGGTCTGTTGCACAACCTTATGCCGTTCGTTCCCTGGTTCTTTGTGCTGCTGAAGGCCATTCACTTGACTCAGGTTCTGATTTTCTGGATGCCAACCCTTTTCACCTAGAAACCTCTGGGGTTCTTGCGTCCTACTAGTGGTGACAGATAAACTAGCTTCCTGTCTTGCATGGAGAAGAGATTTGAGGCCCTGGCTGCTTCTGTCAGCAGGCAATTTCTCCAGATGATCGACAACAAGAGCTTCTTCAGATGCATTCGGCAAAGGCATAGCTGGACTCCGGTCTGCTGGAGCACCGTCTGCTGAAGAAGCACGATCAGAAAAATCCTGCACAGGAAGATGTTCTTTCTTTTCAGAGGTTATCTGGAATCCAGCCGAAGCCTTTGAAGCCTTCACAGCTTGTGTTCTGGTGCTGTCTGGGTCACTGGGCTCGATAGGGCAGACTGAAGCAGAGACAGAGTGAGCGAGACTCATAGGATTACCAATCTTAGGACTTTGTCCTGAAGGATGGGCTGGATGGTTAAATCCATCTGAAGTTGGTAACGATGACATTCCCAGTGAGGTAGTTTCTTTACCGCTTTTCTCTATACGGAACAAAAGGGAAAGAAAGAAAGATTAATCAGAAGGCTACAAAAGCCACTAAATTAGCAGAGGACACAAACTTAAACAGGATAGAACAAAATCAGGTACTTAAACTTGGGACTGTCTTATATTCATAGACTTATCCAAGATCATCCTACTGTGGTAGACGGTTTAACAACAGAGCATCAGAATAAGAGGTAGGCATGTTCTTAATAAAATGTGTATTGTAGTTCAAAATTTTTATTTAAGTACCATTAATTAGCATCCACATAATGGCTGGATTAGCACTCAAGCCTGAAGGTCATTTAGGTATCTTTGTTCTCAGTGAGTTCAGAACGCTAAACAGGTTCTCCAGGTGGGCTCTCTCCACCTCATGCCCTAAACCGACTGGGGCGTTTGCTAAGCATGCAGATTCTGGGGCACCATCCTTGCGAGTAAGCCCAGGATCTGCATTTTCAGTTAAGCTCTCTAGGTGATTCTAAAGCACATTACAAATTTTGAGGATCTTTGCTCTAGAATGATTCTCATGTCAACGCACTTTTAGTGTTTCAAATGTGAACCCTGATGTTATAAATGAGCAGTCTAAAACCAGGTGTATCTGGGACAGAGAGGAATTATAAAGAGAAAGAAGAATGTAATGCTTAGGGACCTCCAGAAGACAGAGCAGGAAACATTCTATTTAATTTATTTCTATCCAAGCTTCCTGGAAAATGATATAGTTATGTGAACATTACTCAGGAACAAAAATAAAGCTAAAGAACAGATTAAATCCCAATCATCACTATACCGAATAATGCAACTTTAAAAAGGATTATCAGTTACTTTGTCACATTAACAGAGTACAACCCAGTAAGAACATTTAAGTGCTTTGAGGGCAGTGGAGGGAAATAATTCATAAGAGTCTTTCACGAGGCGATGATGATTCAGATTGCTGCGACTTACTGGCCGCTCACAGAGGGCGGCGGACTTCAACACTGCCTTGGCGGAAGCACGGAGGCCTTCAACGTCGGACCGACTCTCCTTTTGCCACTGATCCAGTTAAGAACTGACCTCTATGCAATTATTGTAGGATCTTTAATTAGAAGTCAAAAGGTGGCAACAAAAGTGACTTCACAGCACCCTCTATTAGGGCGGATGCAGGTCGAATGCTTCATGCTGGACGTTAACATTCAATGTGGGGAGCTCCATCTTAAGAAGTCATGAAGCAGTGTAGCCATGAATAATACGGTTCTGAATCATTTTGATCCAACACTGGTCAACAGCATGACAGGATAAAGCACTGTCAGGGAGTTACCGACTTTTGTAAAACAATCGCAACTTAGCATTTAGGGCTAACCAGGAAAACAGCATTTATCTCAGTGCAAACTATATCCATTAGCATTTAGAAACACAGTTATTAGTTTTATTTGCCAATCCCTAAGGCTGACTCTGAAAAAGGGTAGAATTTTGAGTTAATGTGAACAGAAGAGATGCACTGTAGTGAAATACCCATGTTAGCAGCATGGCAGGGTGGGGGTATGATAATGGCCTTCTGGCAGTGGTACGCCAGTTAGAACTGGGTCGGGTAAAGGTGAACATGGCCTCAATGTATTCTGCATTCACTATAAAAGCAACATAGTCCATCTGTGGCTGAGATGGTCAGTTTCCCTGGCCTAACTCCTAAATGTAGGGGAGGACTGGGTCAGTACGACAGGATAGGAGAAGATAAGGACAATGGCTATTAAGAAGAACTAAACTATGCTTTTAACCCATCCTTATAAGGAAAAAGAAAGAAGAAATTAAATGCTATTTATCTAATTACAACCAGCCTGCAAACCCCTACCAAGTCCTAGGTTGATAGTTTAAAAGACTGCCTTTCTTCCTCTTGATAAACCAGCCAATATACTCGAGCTGACACTGACCGTTGGAGGCAGAGTGCCTCCTGTGGAAAATCTGTCAGGCAAGGGGGAGAGGGGAAAAGCAAAGTCTCAGCTCTTACTGCTGGGAGAATAAAACTTCAGTCCTGCCTATATTACTGACTGTGTCCCTGGACAAGTCACCTGTCCTAAGTTTCCATTTCTTCTTAACAGAATGAAAATTTCTGCCCCTCTATAACTCTATGTAGTTGTGATCAGAAACATGCAAAAAGAACTGTTTTTCAGAAAAAAGGGACTTAGGAAATCCCTAACAGCATCATTATTCCCACAACAAAGTGATGTGATGCCGATATTCTTGATTTGGTATGCACAGTGGTCAGATGGACACCATTGATACTTGGATTTTCTCCCTTTGGACTGTTTCTAATAATAAAATTTTAAGTTAGAAATTATGCTTTGATATGTATGTATGCGAACATACAAACGTATATACAGGCTAGTTGTAACCAGATTAAACAAGGTGAAATGGTGAATGACAGAAGCTAACTTCCAAAGTTGCTGCAGATACAGAGACTTTCAGACCACAGATGGTAACTGGATGGAAAGCTTAATGTGGTGTCTATAAATACCTGGTCTGGGGCCCACTCCAGCTGCAGTACACACACACTACATGCATCATGGCTTCTGACGCTCTGTTTGAATTAGGAAACAGACAAGCAAACTTGGGTTAACAATGCAAACCACACAGCATGCAGGGTTACAGTCTCCATTCCTTTGCCATCTTTAAAATCAGGAACTGGTAGAGTCAAAGTTGGGGAATGTTCCTGTCGACTAGACATTCAAAAGATCTGATGGTTGCTTTAATTCTCTCACAAGACATAAAGCAATGTGTCCACTTCAACAGATTTTCGATAGAACTTGGAAAGAAATTAGTTTTACACATGTACACACAGAGAATTTGTAGGCAAACATGTGAGACAGGTGAAGAAAAATAGACCCACAGACGGAGTATGTGATGAGGAAATCTTATGGAGTAAAAGTGAGTGAACACATGGCACCTTCTAAACTTCCTTCTCAGTTGAGATTTACTTTTAGAAGAAAAACAACCCAAACCTGATTATCCTGGCTTAATTTCTGGACCTTTTAGTCAGTTTTTAGAAAAAGTTATCAGGTACAGCTCCTACTCTGAATTATTTTTCCATTGACAGAAAAGATAAAGATACTCTGGATAAAGTATCTACAAAAGAAATAGTTTTTAGCAAAAACCCTTGCCACCTACTACATCCAGAGCTCTGATTTTCATGTTACTGGGAAGCTGATGTTTCAAACAAGTAGGACTTGATGTTGTAGGATTATTTCACTACTTAAACAGTACAAAAATTAGCACAAGTCATACAATGTCAGTTACAAAAGGTCACATTTCCTTTGAATCCCTTAAAATTGGCACACCCCTTCACTATGTCTGAATACATCTGTGGTTTCTATTTTAATCTCCTAAACTTTTTACTAGAAGAAGGTAATTACCCAAAGAGGGTAACTGTTAGGTTAGAAAGCATTGCTATCATCAGCGAGTGCTTTTCAAATAAAAGCACCAAAACTGTGGGGGGAAAATTAGGTATTTCACAAGATGGTAACATATTCTCATTTTACTAACATATAGTAACATGACTAAAGTTGACAAGTTACTAAAAAAACTAAAAGCCTTCTCTATGTGGGAATGACAAACTCACTCAAGCTTGCCTATTAATTTAGTCTCTCTCTGGTTGTTTAAACTCTCCCCTTCCTAAAAATACTCACATCACGACCCAAACTGTACTTTATGTATATATACCACTGAGCTAAAAGGTGGTGGTGGAGTAAATTCTGAACAAGGCCAGCTTGGAAAACTCCACCTGCTACTCAAGCCCATTTTATAGAGGCTCAAGACTAGACCTCTCTGTTCTCCAGTAATAAACACTCACAAAATCTGGCTGCTTATTTTTAAAGCTCCTATCTTTTTTGTCTTCAGAAGAAAGCTACTCTCTAATACATATACTTACAATAACAGAAAACGCAATGTGTGGTATTAGTCACTGACAAATAGTTATAGCTCAAAGACTTTAAAATAACGCAAAATTAGTAAGTTTTTTTTCTCCAGCTTCTAGACAATGTATACTAGAGTCACTGTTTTGTAACAGATGTTGAAAAATTACCCATGGAGGTAGGATTTCAGCAAAACCATGTCCCTCCATTTCACCCAGAAAACGTGGTTTGGTCTTTAAACAAGCTACAACAATGGAGACGTAGGAAAAAAAGTTACCAGGAGCTTTATTTCAGTAGTTCACAGACTGTTCTAATTTAGCCCGATGACACACTACACTATGATTGATGTTCAATTTGCTTTTTATGGTTTTTTATGGTTGGTTCTGTTGCTGGCAGCACTTTCAGTAGATATTAAAAGGTTAGGGCTGCTGGGTCTCAGTGACAATGCTATGCTTCAAAGTAAGGCCTACGAAAAGCAAAAGAAATTCTCAGGGAAATACTGCTGAACTCATAAAGAAGTGTCTGCTTACTGTTAGAATTTTCTTTAGGGGAAAAAAAAGACCAGATTTTTTTAGGAAGCCTATCAAAGCGTGCCCACTCAAGTAACTCCCCAACCTATATAGTAGGCATGGATTGCTGTTTCTTGATCTGTTCAAACAGGGAGTTTTTCTTTATTGCACTTAGAGAGCCAAGGAGGCAGTAAGAGGACAAGGAGCACATCTACGACAGGACGAAGAGACGGGTTACAAACTGCAAAGGTGAAGCACCGACTTCCCTGACTCACCCACCATTAACAACAGTATCACTCAAGAGCTTGGCATTCCAAATACCTGCATCCTCTACAGATTTCTGAAGGGCTTCTGCTAATTCCTGGTCTGCAATCTCCTCTGGCCGCACGTCCTCTCGCCCACCAGCCCCATATGCCAACCGGGCACATTCTGGCAGCTCTCCTTCAGGAAGGAAGGTGGTCTGGGAGCCAGTGGTGCCGATCACGAGGACATTTTTCTTGAGGTCAATGGAACACTTAGAAGCAAGAAACCAAAGACAGATGATAAAAACTGTGACTATGCAGAAAAATCATGAAACTGAATTTAAAACTTAATTCATAAAGAGCAACACTGACAGAGACAGAGATGGTTCAAAAACCAAAAGCAAAATCCAAACCTCCCCCAAAATCTACCTACTTAAAGGTATTTAAACTTTAACCTAGGTGACATTGTCAATTTAGAATTTTAGAATTTTCAAGTTTAGCAGAATAATCCCTACAGGATATAGTTTACACTTATTTGTCTAACCTAACATCTGTTCATTTCTGAATTTAATGTAATACATGTTCACTGTATAAAATCTGGGAAAAAGCCAAACATAATCAGCAGCCCCACCTTTTAGCAACATGTGACTTTTTCTTATAAAATGGAGACATACCATTTATACAGCTCAACATTTTGTTTTTTGCTTATTGCATGAAGTACAGTTTTATTTAAATTCTATTAAATGGTCTCAAAAGTAGTACAGGGCAAGGCAATCTCTACAACAGTATTCTCTACCTCATGCTATCCCCCTTTTTTGTGTATTTTTATAGTTACTTATTATAGGACAGTTATACACATAAATGCTTGCTTTGAATTTATAAAATTGAGATGCTGGTCTGTACCATGACTAAAAAACAGGAAAAGACAATTTAATAAACTTGGTTTTGTTTATACCTGCATTCACTCTTTCCTTCCATTTAAAATTCTGCACCTTGATTAGACCATCAATGCAATATATATTTCATAACAATATTAAAACATTTTAAAGAGTGCATGAAAATACTGACTAGATAAGAAACACCGCTGTGAAAAATTTTATTACCCTGTGGACACTAATTGCTTCATTAATGAGAATTTATCTTTAAACAGATTATTAGACTTCAGGGTAGAAATATAAATATCACCGCAAATGAGTATGTTTACAAATCATTCTCCCTGTACCAAATAAGCATTTTCACTCCCAATATTTTATGTATACCTTTCTTCCTTATTCTCGAAGCTCTTCTTCCCAAGTATTATTGGACTAGCTGCTCAGGATTTTTTCAACCTACACCTGCAGTAAAATCATCATTGTGTGTTATATACACCTCCCTACAAGCCCACCAAAAAAACTACTTGAGTTCCAATCAGAAACTAAAAATTATACAAGAGAACCAAACCGCCCATTAGAATCCCAACAGATGGCAAGATTTAACAGATTCAGAGGTTTCACAAGAACAGATTCTATTTCTACTGATACATAATTTTAAACCTCATATGACATCATCATTATTAAGGCCCTTTCCAGATTTGAAAAATGGTGCTTCTTAGTTTTCTGGTATACACAACCAAGTGAGATGATGCAATGGCCACATGATGTACAAAAGGCCAAGACAGAACACAAGCAGGGCGCTTACCTACCTGATGCCGTTTGAGCATGTCCAGTCCCAGCAGCATGTCCATGGGCTGTTCCTCAAGTATAGAGAAGGAACACGCCAGGAAATCACCTTCAATTTGAACCTGAGCTAATAAAGCAAATGAAAATAAAAAGAGGTTGCTGATTTTGCTTATTAAGTCCCAGGCAAGCTTTGCAAATTAACTATCATTCTGTGCCTTGCTTCCTGCAATAAGTCAAACGCAAGGCAAAGCATGCAAACAGGTGAATTGAGTACGAAAATCGAGCAAGACTGTTGTTTAGTTTAAAAGCCCATGAAGGCACCAGTTTGTAAAGCAGAACTACTACCCAGAATACCAGGCTTGATATGTGATCCTGTTGGGACACATGTTCCGCTGGTGAGGACAGAGTACAGGTTTGACAAGTGATCACATTAGGTCACAAGCTCAGCTGCTGGGAAAGCTGGCATTACTGATTAAAATGAAAAAAGACCAGTCCCTCCAATATTTAACACCCGCTTCCCATACACTTACAAAAGATTTTTTTAAAGGGAAAAATATCTGTATGCTTTATGCCTTTTTAATTAGCCTCTAAAAAGCAAACTGATGTTATTGTCTGTTACAACCAAGTTTCAATTTGCCAAACCAAAGACAACACCAAGGCCTGCATTTGCCTGGTGCCTCCATCCTTGCCTCCTTTCTCAATTACTCCTCTTACTTAATAGATGAGATTAAAAAGAAAAAAATTATTTTGTTACCATTAAGGATATCTTACAAACAGAAGTGTATGAAATAAAACAATAAAGCATAATAAAACAAACACCTCGCACCTATTTCCCAGGTTAAGAAATACAAAACCAAGAAGTCTCCTGTGCATCTTACAGAGTGCAACTTAAGTCTTGGGCTCCTTCAACCCTGCCAACTATCCTGGTTTTCATGTTAATCAGGATGGTGAACACGAAATCTGTTTTTTTCCAGTTCTCACAGTTTTGTGTGATTTCTAAGCAACATATTGTTTAGTTATGTGTTTCTGAATTACGACTTGCTTTTTTTACTCAAGAAGTATTTTGAGATCTACCCCACGGATGTGACACTACTTTCACGTTCAGTAATTCCTCCGAGTACTGTGATGTCTAATGCACCACAGCTGATGCATCCGTTCTACGCTGCAGGACTTTCTGGGTCACTTCCATTTTCTGCTGTCACAGGCAAAGCCACCGTAACAGTCTTGTACCTGTCTCTGGCGTGTCGTCAGCTTCTCTGAGGTATATTCTACAAGTGCAATCACAGGGCTCTAGGGGCTATTTGGCTCAACTTTGTTGGGTGAGAAGTATTTTCCAAAATGTTCTAAGCAATATATCAAAGTCCCCATTGCTCCACATTCTTACCAACAGTCAATATTATTATATTTAAAATCTTGCTCATCTGGCAAGTTGATTTGTATTTCCCTGGTTAATAATGAGTTTGAGCAACTTTTTGTATGTTTATTAACCATTTGGATTTCCTGTTTAACAGTTTCTGTACTTTTTTTGTATTGTCTGAGTTAGAGGATACACATACATACGGGATATGCGTATATTCTGAGTATGAATCTTTTATTAGTTATATGTGTTACTAAAATTATTTTCTAGTTTGTTCATTTCCTTTATAACTTTGACAAAAGTTCTTAACCTTAATGTGGCTGAATTTATCAAATAATTCTCCTCTTATCATTTAAAGAAACCCTTCCTTCAATAAGGTATTGTCCTATGTTTTCTTCTAAAAGCTCTGACTTTGTCTTTTACAATTAGGTCTTTTAATCTACCCTGAACTGGTTTTTGTGTAGGATGTGAAGTTCACTTTTTCCACACAGATACCCGGCTGTCCTAGCACCATTTCCTGAAACTTTCCCAAGGCTTTATTAGATTTCCTCTCTCATTACCAAGGTTCAGGTAAGCAGGTGGCTGTTTCTGTTCTGGTCTTGTTATCTAGAGGGGGTAGTTATCCCAGAGCAGCTTGTCTACTCCTGCAATAAAGGGCCCATATAATATTTAAAATTAACACACCAAAAAAGTCTCACACAAAGAAAACTATTGAGATTTTGATGTTATGATGACTCTGTTGATGAATGTGGGAGAATTGCCACCTTCAGCATACAGCTGGCTATCTATGGTACAGCTCTCCATTACATACTTAGATTTCTCTCCTTGTTACAAGGTTTTCTTCATGCCTATCAAAGTTGTAAAAAGGTATGTCTACAAGGAAGGACACAATTCCTTGGAACTTAGGAAAATCTGAGAACTCAGACTCTGAGGCACTCAGTTTGTGGTAATACTACCCAATTTCAGTCCTACCATGTGCAGTTAAGTTTCTAAGAGCAAGATTTTAAACTATGATTATTCTATACAAATCAGTAAAAGAAAACAAAGAGACTCTAGTAAATGGACAAATAAGAAAGAAGACAATGGTTAGAAAAAATAACCTGCAATGAAAGAAAAGTAACATAATAAGAACACCATTTTTTTATTTGCAAGTTAAAGGGGTAAAACCTAATAATTCTTGATTGTATAAGGACATTAAAATGAATACCCACTAGGTGCTAGAGAAACCAGATTGGTACAAGTTAGCAATATATCAAGAGCCTTTAAAGTATTCATAACCTTTGATTCAGTAGTTTCACTTATAGAAATCTTAACTAAGAGAAAATACAAAAATGTTCACAAAAACCACACAAGAATCCACTGTCTTGTTATAATGATCAAATATTGGTGAGAAAATGTTATCCTAAAAATTGATCATTAGTGCAACAGAATGCTATGCATTTATTTAAATGGTGTTTATGGACTTTATAGTAAGACTGGGAAAATGTAATGAATGTTACTTTATGAGAAAAAAAGGCCAAAAAAGATCGTCTAAATGCCACTAGTGGTTGATTCTCACTTAAAAGGATTTAAGGTGTTTTTGCTTCTTTTCACACTTCTATACACTCGAAATTCACTACAATGAACTATTATCTATTAAATGGATAATGAAAGAAATAAAAAACAATTTTGGTTGGAGATGAAGAACTGAACACATATATTTATCTCCATTTACTCCTTAAAAATTACAATAAAAGTTTGTTTTTTTAAGGTACAAATCACTAAGGCCAAAAATAATGGAAGAGACAAATGAAACACAATTTTGGAATCACAAAGCTGGAGACAGTAAGGAAAACTGAGAGGCAACCCAGCTAACGCGACAGATCTCCTAAGAGGCTGATGAACAAGCTCCTCTGCAAGCGGGGTTAGGATGGGTCCAAAGCAGGAAGAAAATGGTGGAAGGGCTCTGCAGGCAGTTAGATCTCAGGGTTCCCCTCCTACATTCTGCCAGCCAGGCCACTGACTACTTCCCTTCACCCCAACAGTGAACTGGAGGTTTATTTTCTTAAGAAGGTGACACAGAGGTTCTTGTAACAGAGGTGGGCAGGGAGGAAGACAAGGACACAACAACAAGCACCTGACTGAAAACCGGGGGATGAAGCGAACATTTGCTGCGATTCTAGCCTTCTCCCTCCCAACTTCCGGGTCACCCACAATCCCCACGGATGCCCCAAGTAATCTTTCAAATAGTCTCTTGGTGTCCCACTCTTCATTATGAGCCGATGCTACAGAAAAGCTGAGGAAATCTCACAAAAAAACCACCTAGAACACACTGAAAGAAAAAAAAAAAGCGAACATTTGCTGCGATTCTAGCCTTCTCCCTCCCAACTTCCGGGTCACCCACAATCCCCACGGATGCCCCAAGTAATCTTTCAAATAGTCTCTTGGTGTCCCACTCTTCATTATGAGCCGATGCTACAGAAAAGCTGAGGAAATCTCACAAAAAAACCACCTAGAACACACTGAAAGAAAAAAAAAATAGAAAGAAAACTAGAGGATAAGTCCAGGATATTAGATCATCCTACCTGAGTAACCGAAACCCGCAGAGGGGAGGGACTGAGAGGCACCCAGCACCCAGAATGAGAAGAGACCTGCATTCAAGTACATCACTGGGACATTTCAAAACACTGAGCTCCAAGAGATGATTCAAGTTTCAGAAATGGAAAAGGTACCATTCACATAAAGGATCAAGAATCAGAATAGCAGCCAGCTTCTCCACAGCAATACTGACAAAAACCGTGAAGGAAAACTTGGTCAGCCTTGTAGAATGCAGGGAAAAAGTGGCTAGGCATGTTCTCATATTTTAAGGACTCAATTTCTTCCCTTACACTTTTTCTCAGGAAGTTACTGGAAGACGTAGTCTAATAAACTGAGGAGCAAAATAAAAAAGATGAAGTTCTGGGATTCACATAATCTGACATAAGATCAAGGGGAAAGGAACTTTTCAGGACCTGGTCAAAGGAGATGCCAAAACCCCAGCTGTGAAGTGGCTCTGACCTTCAATAGGATGAGATGCAAAAAGGAGATTTACACAAGCAGGCAAGTGTTGGAATGAGTAACACTTGAAACACCACGTGACCCCCCCCCAACAAAGACAAATATTAATTCCAAGAAAAAAGAATGTTGGACATGAAAGGAAAAGCAATCATTTTCAGTTAGATGGCTCAGTTGTGCACCAGTAGCTACATAGCCATTTATCAGTAACAGCACCATAAACATGTTCTTTAGGAATGTGGACATGAACACTAGAAGAAATCAGTTGAATACTTGAAAGGCATTATCTCTAAGGGGCAGAAAACATCGAGAATGAAGTTTTCTGTAACCAGCTAAAACATGCACAGGTATAGCTTCAATAGAACACAGGATTTAAAATTTCTATGGATTAGGCTTGCTGGATCAGATACACCTATCCAAAGGACATTTTTAAATATCCACTACCCTGCAAAGACTCCCAGTGCCTTTTGCTCACCTAGATGTACCCTTCCAATAATCTTCTGGGTGCCCACTCCTTTGGCAATCCCTGCCCACCGGCGGTCCACCAGCCTCATTATATTACACCTTTCTGCGCAAGCTTGGCTCATAATAGTCATCTGGGCACCTGGAGGTGGAGGGAAACATCAGATAATAAAAACAAAGTATTTATGGTACAATTAAAAATGCAGCACAAAAAACAGGACAGAAAGCAAGTGTACCCCCAGGCAGTTGTCTGTGTAAAATCATTCCTACTTTAGCAGGTTTCCTGCCATGCTTAATTCAACTTTCAGTTCCACATTGGAATCTGAAACAGTGTAGAAACCTGGCACCGAGGGAAAGAATGTTTTGTTTAAATGTAATAATTAAATGATAAACACTTCCAAAAAGTCCAACTACATCTCTAGATGGAAATGCCAGAATAAGCAGGAATTTACACTCAGATCTGTTTTCAATGACATCTCTAAACAAGTGATCAACTTATTTTTATTTCAAACTTAGGGACACTATAATTTACCAGTTTAAAAATATATCTTGCAGTCTCTCAAAACCTGGAACCCAAGTTCCCATTCTCTCCCCAACAATTACAATCTTTTCCCTTTCAGGAAGAGAACATTCAGGGTTTCTTTTCCCTCGGTACATGTACTCACCCTACAGTTGGAGGCAGCCTGTGCAGAAGACACTGCTCTAATCCTTACCTACAGCCCTAATCTCTAGCGCCACGTTCCTGTGCATTGGACATTTCTACCTCAGGGTCAGAAGGCATAAAACACTTCCTCCCCACATAATTCTCATTTCGGATTCCCCTCCTTGCCAAGGGAATTGTTTCCCTGTAATTATAAAACTCAGGCTTTGTTCACCTCTGACTCCTCTTTTTTTAGCCTTCTCCCCATCTCAAACTCCGCTCCAGGCCTGTTGTAAATTCCATGCAATCCCTACTATTTCTGGCCTTCCTTCTTCTAACTATAGCAATTAGCCTAATTAGTACTCCAATTTCTCTGGTTTCCAGATCACTCTGTAGATGCACAATTTAAGCAAGGATATAGTTCTGACCCTTAGGGGTACAGATTTCTCCAGATCTGTCATTGCCTTCAGTCTTCCTAAAACATCACCTTCAGATCACTTACTTATTCATCTGCTCAAAAATCCTTGACGGCTCCTACTCATTGTAAGATTAGCTTAAAACCTCACTGCACAGCTTCAAATCCAATCTCATCCTGGCTAAACTACTTCAGCTGCTAAAAGACTGAACATTTTCCTCCCAGAGTTCTTACATGGAAACCTAATGCCCAGTGTGATGCTATGAGGAGGTAGGGCCTTTGAGGTGATTAGGTCATGGAGGTAGCGCTCTCATGAATGGGATTAGTGTCCTTGTAAGAGACCCCAGGAGGCTCCCTCATCTTTCTGCCATATGAGGACAGGCGAGAAGATGGACATCTATGAGCTAGGGAGCAGGTCCTCACCAGACACTGAATCTGCTGGTACCCTCATCTTGGACTTCCTGGCCTCCAGAACAATGAGAAATAAACCTGTGTTGTTTAGGAGTCTATAGTGTTGTTATAGTGGCCTGAACTGACTCAGACACCAGCCTTGTACTCTAAGCCCTGTACTTTACTGGGAGGAATTTGTTCCCTTTGCCTCTGACTCACTCTGACCCCCTGGGCAGCGTCCCCTTCACCACTGTCACTCCCTCTGAATTCCACCTACGCCTTCAGGCCCAGCAGAAGACCCAAGACCCACCTCCTCCCCAACAGACTGACCTTTCCCAGTGATCTCTCATTCAATCCCAAACTTCCTGTTCTGATTACTCTTAGGTACCTTACATTTTATGGGCAAAGAAAGCTCTTGGCATCTGAGGAAGGTCAGATTTAAGAAGGCTCAGGCATAATGAAGGAAAAGGGAATCTGGGAAGGCCATTCTCTCTTTCCTTCCTCCCTCTCCACTCTACTCTACAAACGCCACCGGCTGATCTGACAGAAACAACCACAGGATGAGAAGGGTCGCTTTCACTGTTTTCCTGCCTTTTCTCAAGCCCCAGCTTGAAGCCCCCCGATCTTCTGCCTAAGGAGACAGCTCGGTTCAAATGCCTTCTCTTTTGGGGAGCCATGCCTGAACACCTCAGTCAGAGTGATGATGGCATCTCTATGTTCATCCGACATGCATCTAATTTGTGTACAGTGGCTAAGAGATCTGGCATCAAGTTGATTAAGATGAAATACATCAAGCACCTAGTATGATGCTTGGCACACAGAAGGGCCTGATAAACGCTGAGTGTCATAATAGGGTCTCTTACCCATGTGGTGGTCTCTCCCACTCACAGGAGCCCTGTGAAGCTCGAGTTAGTCTTAACCCCGAGCATTCAGCACAAGGACCTACAGGTAGCACTCAAGAGACATTTTTAAAATGGAATAACCAGCAGATGTGGAATATATGCATCTCAAGACATGAACTCTTAATGATAGCTCAAACACTTGTGGAAAATGGAGGCAAGTATTACTTGAATAGGAGTTTTTACTACTCTAGAAACTCATCCTTTTAAAGCCTGAGTGAGATCCCCAGAATTAAGACACAGTAAGAGCCTCTGTCACACCCACATTAGCTACAAATGCAGAGTTGTTACTGAGAGAAAAGGTGTCTGTTGGTAAAGGAATAACCTGAATCCTCAAATGGAGAACTTCTTGTCTCCTTACTTGGCTGTTAAGTTAAGGGCAAGAACCATGCCCCACATACCCTTTCAGGCCTCACAGTTCCTGGCAAAGTGCCAGCACAGACCAGGCTGGGGTATTTGTTTGGCTTACACTCTGCCAAACCCACTTATACCCCAATTCCTTACAAAGGTATTCCAGAAATTCAGGATGCCAAATAAGGGGAGGTGGGAAGGTAAATACAAAACTGGTTAAGAAATGATTAAAGAAATAAACCTATTATAAACAAGAAAATATTGGCAAGTGAAATAACCAACCCCCACCCAGGCTTGTTAATTAGCAGTCCAAAGGCCCACTGCCACCCTGAATGGACACCAGGGTCTCTCCTTCTCCCTGTGTCAGGCCAGAATGTTGGATGGAGGGACAAAGACACAGAAGACAAGAGATGCTACCTGAGTCAACAAAGGCTTTCACAGGATGTCCATTCACTTTGCAGTTAATATAAAGCATCACTACTTGGCCAAAACTTTCCGGAGCCTCTTCCATAGCTATTGTCATATTTTCCTCAATGTTCTGCTGCCTGTAACAAACCAAAACCACATACACTAAAATCATTATTTCCATGAAGAGAAGTCTGTTTCAAAGTCACATTTCAGATTTTAAAAGTTGGCAGAAAATCTAGGCATACAAAGTGTATTCATGAAGAACAGTCATTTCCCTTTATAAGCCCATTAACAGGAAAATAAACTTCTGGAGAGTAAGGGTCAACAACCCTTTTTATCCTGTAGAATGTCAGAATTTCATGAATATTCCAGTTTTAACTGAGGAATTTCTGGGTATCTGGGTACATTTCCTATATCGAGTGCATTAAAAATCACTTGCAAACGTAACACATACGTTTCAACTGCTTGTGTTGTATCTGCTGCTTAATCTCTAAGATTAGATTTCTAATCTGAAAAATGAGGGTAATTCCTATTATAGGATCACAGAGAGATATAAAGCATCTAATACACAATGCTAACAGATGAGCAGATACTCAAAAAATGTACTTATCTACCTATCTTGTTATCACTTAGAGAACTACACACATACACATCATAGTTCATTTGGTCCATCAAATTATTTCTCATTCTTAGATGAGAAAAGCACATAAAAGGGAGTTCTAGCTTACTCCAATGTCTCATGTCTTCATTCCCAACCTCCTTTTAAAGACATTTCAAAACACTACCAACATTAATGGGGACCAGGGCTGGGCAACTTACCTGAATTCAGACTAAGAGAATGACAGAATAGGGTCCAAGATCTGAGATAAATGACAACTGTAAACCTGGGCTGGCAAACTCCAGCCCACCATCTGCTTGTGTAAACAAGCTTTCACCTATGTATTCATAAATAATTTCATAAATATACTTACATTTTTATAATATAAGTATAAAAGTATTTTAATAATATTTAGGATTATTGTATTTTATAGGTAACTATGGATGTTTTGGTACCACACTGGGAGGACTGAGCTACAGACAGAGACAGTATAGCATGTAAAGCCTAAAGTATTTATTATCTGGCCCTTTAGGAAAAAGTCTGCCAACCCCTGCTCTAAATCTTAGTGCCTGTCCTTTTTGTAGTAATATTCTAGGCTCGATTGAATTTATCAGCCATTCTGTAGAAAAATAGCAAAATTCTCACAAAGTCATTCACTCATTTAATTTAGTCAGGCATATATGCCAGTTATTATACCTCAGTGTACATACATCCTATGGAATCACTGAGGTAGCTTACCAAATACAACTTTAATAGGCATTTGATATAATTATGCAGCTTTTCGCCTATGCCACATTATTAAATTTAGAAATAATCTAAACTTAGTTGTGCACTCCCGACCTCTCATCAACTCCAACCAAGATAAATTTCAGCAAAAAAGTCTGAGATAATACCAGTTACTCTGGCTATTCTGGGCTCTGTACAGTCTCTTCTGAGGCACAAGGTTTTCTCCTTTCAAAGATGTATGCATTACCCCATTTCCTCTTCCCCACTCCTGGGAAAGAACAAGAGCCATATGGACAATGCTTCACTTCACACCTACTCTTCCAAAAGCTCGATGTCATGGTTTGGCTAGAAAGCCTCCCCACTCTCCCCAGACACTCCTCCTTCCTGAGCTGAATGCAACTAGTACTGAGAACTGTCAGGTTTCCTTCAGAAGAGAAAAGTATCTTCCTATTTCTCTGGGTAGATTTAAATACCCAGTAAGATGTTTCTCAAAGATATTCATTAGTATCTGATACAACTAATGGAATTTACTCAACAAGAACACAAGTGAATGGCTTAGGGCTGTCAATTGACTGTGGAGTACAATTTACATTTCTTCTATTTCAAACGGAGTCAGAGAAATAAGAAAACAATTATTTGAATTCAAAGTTGACAGTACAATACAATGATCAACTTAGGCTTCATTTAAGCATCCAAAGATGACGACAAGCCCCTAAAAGCAGTTATCGTTACAGTTATGTTCTTAGGTACACAGCAGTCCCCTCTTACCCACAGGGGATACAGTCCAGGACCCCAGTAGATGCCTGAAACCACAGATAGTATCAAACCCATATATGCTATGTCTTTTCCTATACATACATATATATATACCTATAATAGTTTTACTTATAAATTAGGCACAGTAAGAGATTAATAGCAGTAACTAAAGTAAAATAGAATTATAACATATACTTAATAAAATTTATATGCATGTGGTCTCTCAAAATATTGTACTGTACTATATTCACCCTTCTTGTTGTGATGATATGAGATGATAAAATGCCTACATGATGAGATGAAGTGAATGACACAGCATTGTGATGAGGTGTTAGGCTAGTACCGACCTTCTGACTTACCTGCTTCTGCACTGTAGTTGACCACAGGTAAGGGGACCTACTGTACTAAGGCCTTCACAATTGGCAACAAAACCCTGAATTGGGGCGGCAGGGAGGAGCAGCTATTTTCTTTAATTAAAGGACTGACTGAGCAGCATTTTGCTTGTGACCAGGAATGTGACCAGGTTGGCATTAGCATTTTGAACCCGCTAAGGCCCCACCCCTTAAGATTCTGATTCATCGATTTGGTAGTAGAGCCCGAGCATCTGCATTTTTACAGCTTCTCATGGGACTTTAATGCAGCTGTAGGTGAGAACCCACTGCATTAGAGATGGAACTGTGTCCAGGAATCAGTTTATCTACGGAGGCCAGTACCAGAACTACAGAAGAAAAACAGACTTGGGACTGCAAAGTCCCATTTGTACAGAGCTCTCTCTCTAGCCCAATCATGTCTAAGCCCTGAATCTAACTGGGTTCCATACATTATGACCAAGGAAAGAGATTCCACTCGGCCCGTGTAGGCAGCCTAGCAGCCTCACCAGGCTGGGCGCTCCTGCTCAGGCCCGGGTCATGTACCTGGAGTGGCTTTAATGATGTCGAGTCTCCAATAAAATTTTAGAAGAGAAAGTCATTAAGTTAGGTAACTGCACCTTTGTAATGTTGAATCAAAATGGGAAAACAGTGAATAAATGATCTAAAAGACTGAAGTTATTATCTCAAATGCAAAATAAAGAAGCTAGCTCAAAGCAGATGCCTAATTAACGTAAGATCACCTACAGTCTGGGAAATCTGGATTCTCTAAATCTTGCTCTGTAGGTGAAGGGTCATTACCTTATATCTTCTTCTATCTTTGCCTGAGCTTCAAGATCAAAAGGGTCGGCAGAAAAGAGGCGAATCCTCTCTTGCTCTCTCCGGGCTCGGTCCTGCTGCTGCTCAACAAGGACCCTAGAAAATTTCTCTACGAAAATAAGGGGAAAAATCTTAAGTACCACTACATTTTCATTCATTATTAGCACTTTCCCACATCAAATAACTCCTCAAATACAACTGCAAGAGATGCAGCAAGGATACTTAAAAATTACTTTAAATAAACAAGTATACGTGCTCTCTGTTCTTTGAGGCAACACTACTTCTTCACCTAAATTCAGCATAAATATTTGCAAAAACCATTTATACTTGTAAGAAGATACCCATCATACTGTTTCTATTCAGATACAACATCTTTTCACTTTAAATCAGTGGGGAATGACTGTGTGGCAGATACATGACCCCACTGCCCTTATTATTCTATTACCTAGAAATAAAATAAAGCATACAACCCCCTTTTCCTTTTCTAGTTTATAAATTCTCTGCCTTACACCAGATAAATTAAATGCAAGCTATTGTGAGCCTATCTGTACTACATGATGGATAATAGGCAGGAAAATTTGTAAAGAGAAAACAATGCTTGCTTTAAGACATACAAGAACCATCTTCATTTTGCTATTTCTTAAATTGGGTGCATTTAAATGTATAAACTGAAATGTACCATCATCATGGTCTTCGGCAATTGAGATGCTGCATAAGATATTAATGAAACCAAGATAATGGTCACATGAACTATTAATACACACAACATGGATGAATCTAAAAAAACATTGAGTGAAAGAAGCCTGACACGAGAGGACATACTATATGATTCTATTTACATGAAGATCAAAAATAGGCAAAACTAATCTGTACAATGATTATCAGAATGGTGGTAGTCTACAAAGAAGAAACTGACTAGAGAAGAACATAATGGAACTTACTAGAGTGAGAAAAAATGTTCTATATCTCAATTGGGGTGGTGGCTACATGAGTTTGCCAAAACTTAACTGTATGCTTAAATCTGCATCTTTGTCTGGTAGGTGATTACTGCCTTAATTTAAAAATGTTCAGTTGAGGAATGAGTTACTAAGTGTCTATGACATTTGAAAATTTAATCAGTACAGTTTTATAAACCCAAGTATAAAACTGGAGAAATTTACAGAGAAAACTTTATTCATAAAGATGGCTAAGAATAAATGTTGTTTTTTTTTTTAAAGGCTCAAATCCAGCTCCAAATAAACTGTTGGCAACCACCCCACTATCAAGCTTGGGGAGGATGGGCTCCATTTTGACACAGAAGTTGATGGCACTGGATCTGTTCCCTGCAACTAAAACCTTATCAATTGGCATCAGCCTGCTTATTGGTATTCTCTTTAATTGAAGGTCTAACTGAAGAGATTAAAATATCAGTACCTGGGTTATGTGCTCCTAAAACAATTAGGAAAAAAACGTAAACGGAGGTGGCTGGTCTAGCTAGATTTCAGAACTCCAAGCGGTCCTAAAATTCTATTGCTATTTCCAATTAACCCAGCCTCTGACATCAGCACTAATTTACCTCTCACAGAGCAATTGGTGTATTCAATAAATCATGTAACACAGTGGACTGAACACACCAGTTGCATGAATTTCTCCACATTTGTTGTGATACAACTACTTCACTTCAGGTCGGCTTGATGGCCTTCCAAACTTATAAGCTTACCAAGGTCTCCACTGAGCAGAGCATCTGCCAGGGGTGGATTGCGTTCCTTCAGCAAGGACAGCTCATGGGGGTTGGCCAGCAACATGTCTCGGAGCAAGGCTGGGTTGTCCAAGCCCTGAGGAGATGAAGCTATCTCTCCAGGAGATGAGTGGGACTGCTGTGCTCCGGGTGGCTGGCGCTGCCGGGAGCCTGACGTGCCAGGCACAGCTATACTACGGAAGTCTATTCGGGGTAAGTCTGTGGGGGAAAATTGATTTAAAGTTTACTTCAAATGACTCCATAAAACAAGCATTTGAAGGAAACAGCAGAACATGTGCTCATACATGGTACGGAATAGTAAATGAGGGTTGTAGACATTCGAATGTCCCTTCTCTGGCTCCTTCTCATGCTGACTCTGATTATAAAGATTGCAGTCTGAGAGTGAACCCACAGGAAAGAATAGGAAAGGGGGGCCGGCAATGGTAGAAACCACCAATTTTTGGTTTAGAAAATGTCCCAAAACAAACTAAGTTTTTACTTGAGGTTTTTAAAAAATTAAAGCTAGTCTTAATAAATGTAACCACATAAACCTGGATGTGGTTGAGAAAATCCTAATCTGCTTTGACATAGGCTTCAAAGAGCCCTGACATATTCTTGGATAAAGAATGCCACACATCAAAGGAACAGCATAAATGTTAGATGTGAAATTCTACAAGTCTGTGCTAAACACATTAGTCCTTTGAATTTTTCATCTGCAGTCGCTGCTAACTCTTCTCACACCCTTGAGGGGTTAGCAGGGCCAGTCATTTCACAGGAGAGAGAAACAAGAAAGGAGACTTGCACAAGATCCCAGTGCTGAGAACACCAGAAGGTGCAACAGGTTTGGAGGCTACAACTCAGGTTCTACACTCCAGGCTGAGCTGACCTCACTAAGAGGAAAGGAAAATAAAAGGGAGCGCTACACAAGGACCACAGACTGTGCGGTTCCATGTATGTGAAATGTCCAGACCAGGAAAATACATAAGAGACAGGAAGTAGACTGATGCTCGTCTAGGGCTTAAGAGGCTGCGAGGCAGATGGGGAATGACTGCAGATGGGCACAGGGTCTCTTAAAGGAGATGACAATGTGCGACAATTGATTGTAGTGATGGTCATCACACAACTCTGAATTAACTCAAGATCACTGAATTGTACCCTTTAAATGAGTGAATTGTATGGAATGTGAATGACATCTCAATAAAACTGTTATTTAAAAAAGGAAAAAGAAAAAAAGAAAGAGAAAGAAGAGAAGTAGAGCCAGAATGAGGGGCCAGACTGAATGAATCGCATTTCTTCAACCCTAAAAGTATATCTGACAATCACTCTTATCCCAAGTCCAAGATTATCCTGAAGCCTTTGGACTTCAAGTAGAAGGGAATGCTTAAATTAAACTCAGGCTGTAGTTTCTGCCTTTCAGTGTGGGTAGAACTAGTCACTTTCTTTAAACAGACCTCAACTGGCAGGTAGTAAACGAGTGTGTGCACGCGCACATGTGTTTACAACTCTCAACCAATGAGAAGGTGATCCTGCCATTCGGCATGATCTTTGCCAGGGAGTTAATCTGTACCAACTAGCAAAACATGTATGAGTGGGCTTTCTCTGTGGGTTGAGAAGTTTTATCTTCAAGCGTGTTATACTTATCTTGAGAGTCCATTCGCTTCAGAGTAATTTTGAAAAACTTGTTTACCTTATAAACTAGATCCTCTTCCCTTCCCCCACCTACTGGCTCTCTTGTCCTTATCGGACAGTATAGGAAAAAAAGTGAATTTCCAGAACTCATAATCTCACCAAATTAACCAAAGATCTGTTTTTTTATTGACTGGCATATCTGAATCACAACTCCTTTTAAAGTTTAACAGTAGCCCCAAGGGACTAATGTAATCCAGACCTGGGAGGAACAGGGCCTGATGGCCTCTTATAAGCCCAGTTTCAGGTAAAATGGAAACACTGTGATCTAAGCTAGAATCTGTCTTCACCCAGATACATATCAGCTGTTGATATAAACTTTAAAACTAAGTGACCTAGAGACTAAACTCTGTTTAAAGAAATCTACCAGAATATATAGCAGAGAATGGCAAAAACTAATAGATTTCATAAAACAGTTCTTTGAACATTTTGTAGATCACGAACCTCCTTGCATATCTAAAGAAAATTATGGACCCTCTTCCCTTAAAATGCACACATACCCAAAGCCACATCATTCTGCACATTATCTCAGGGAGACAGAAACCACCTATGTACAGATCCAGGCTATAAACACCTATTGTACAGATTCCAGACTATGAACACCTATTCTAGATGGAGCATCTAAGGCAGATAACTGTTTCTTTTTACATGATTAATACAGTTGGTTGGAAAGAACCAGAATTTAATGGTCCAGCTGCTTAATATTCATCAAGCTCAGTGTAATGGAAAAAGCACCAAGTTTTAATTCCTGCGCCTTCATTTGTTAGTTATGTAACTTTGAAGATATTTAAAATCAGAGCTTCATCTGTTAACGTTAACAAATTGTAAAGAAGAAGTTCTTCTCCTACAACAGCTTTGAGATACAGTGAAATGTACAGGTGCAAACACGTGGCTGACTATAAAATACTCTGCAAAGGTCTGCCTCTGAAGGCCGAACACAAAATAGCAACAGTCAGGAACCATAGGCATATGTAGCCTCTCAAGTCCTGCCCAAGGATAAAATTTCCACTGATTAACAATAGAAGCTAACATTTAGGCCTTGCTGTGTCTCAAAGGTTTTATGTGCATTATTCTCACATCAACTCTAGGACCTGGGGTTAATTATAGCACCTATCCTAGAGATGAGGAAATCTGCCCAAGGTTACATAGCAAGCAAGAGGCAGAGTCAGGATACGTTCCCTGGAGTCTGAATCCAAAGCGAATCCAAAATTCTGAACCACTATGCTATGCTGGCTACTGACTGTGTCTGGGGGATGTCACAACATTACGAGATGTCTTACTTGGGAACGGTACTGGAGGTCGAGAGTCTGCATTCTCCTTCTGTCGTAAAATCACAACGTCCCCATCTTTCAAGCCGTAAGAGGCCAGTGATCTGTGGTTGTCTGTAAGAGGTCTTTCAGCATAGACAATCTACAACCAGAAAAGATTTAACAGTTTAAAGCTCTGAGAAGTAACATGGCACTAAGCAGAAGAGACTAGTTTTCTTCTTCATGGGATAACGTCACTCCCTGCTCAAAACCCTCCAGTGGTTTCCCGTTACACCGAGAACGAAAGCCAGAGTCTTTCCCATCTCCTGCTAGGCCCAAACAGCCAGGCCCCAGCTCTCCCTCTGACTTGCTATCACACGGTGATTGCTGAGCATCGAATAAAAATATCAACTTCCCCCCAGAGCTGTTTCACTTGCTCTTCTCTCTACCCGAGGAAAGTTCTTCCCCTGTTTTTTTTAGGTCTCCAGTCAGACATTACTTCTTCAGAGCCCTTCCCTAATTACCATTTAAAATGTACCCTTGCTTCACACATACTCTATATTTATTTCTTTATTGTCTTTCTGTCCAAAGTAAAATAAAAGCTACTTGAAGACAAGGACTTTATTTGCCATATCCCAAATACCTACAAAAGGGCCTGTTGGATAAATAATGCCCCAGTACTTGCTGAATTAAAGGACTAAAGAGTCAATGGAAGCAGTGGATATAATTTTAGGTTTAATTTTAAGCAGGGAAAGAAATGGGAACAATTTACTCTGTGTATGTTAACCAAAATACTATTAAATAATGTGCTCCCCATCCCCTGCCAGTTTTAGTGAGATATATAACTGACATATGACACTGCATTAGTTTTAGGTATACAACCCATTTGTTCTGATGTACGTATATATTGGAGAATGATTACAATAAGTTAACATCCTCAGTTTTGTGACCTCACATAGTTAAAAAAAGTTTCTTTTTATTATTATTATTTAAATATCATTGATATACAATCTTATATTAGTTACAAGTATACAACACAGTGAGTGGTTCAACAGTTATCCATATTATTAAATCCTCACCCCCACTAGTGTGGTTCCTATCTGTCAGCATAGGAAGATGTTACAGAATCACTGGCTATATTCTCCATGCTGTACTACTATCTCTGTGACCAACCTACATTATGATTGAGAATTTTTGTGCCCCTTTATCCCCCTCAACCTCCCCACCCACCCACCCCAACCCCTCTCCCATGGTAATCATCAGTCACTTCTCAGTGTCTCTGAGTCTACTGCTGTTCAAAAATTGTTCCTTGTGATGAGAACTTTTGAGATTTACTCTTAGCAACTTCCAAATATATGATACAGTATGCTTAGCTGGAGTCACCATGCTGTACATTACACCTCAATGTGTCCACTTTTTAAGGATCTTTGCACACTGACAAGTCTAAAGGTTCCTGCATTCTTCCCACTCTTCTATCATCTCCAGTTTTATTACTCTTATGAGTGGAAGATAAAAGTGGAAGAAATTCAGAAAAGAACAATTAAAATACAGATGGAAAAAAAGGATCAGATACATACTACGAATAAAACATTTTATCATGTGCAATCAAACACTGAAGAAAACCTGAGAGCATAAAAACAGATGAAACTGTGTGCTATGGAAAGAAAAGGAACACACAAAGGGCGTACTATAATTTGACCATGCAGGAACATAAAACCTGCCCTGCACTATTATACACTCCAGAAGGGCCTTCAGAATTAACTCAGGTTCTGAAAGGTTTTCTTCCTAACATTTGTTTTTCGACCAGGCCACATGCAAACTGAGGAGTCTGAGTTCTGTCCTGGCTCTGCAAGGAGCCCAGCCCCTCAGCTGGTCCAGGCTTCACATTTCCCATTCGTCAAGCAAGCAGTTGGGGCTAGATAATCATTACAGCTGTCCCTTCCAGATCTTTCTGCCACACTACCATTTTATACTGTTTCCTCACAGCTCTCATAACAAGACTGCCCAACACAGAATCTGAAAAATACAGGACTTAAACTGCAAAAAAATGAAATATCCCATTTGCTTTCAGAATTGCACTGACATGAGGAATAGAACTAATAGGAAATGGAATTTAGTTCCCTCCCAAATCAAACACTTCTGGAGATGAGCAAAAAATTGATTTGTAGAGTTAGTAGGTCTGATCATACTTTGTTAAGTTCTATACATGACTAGAAAAGTATTGTCAGTTCTCACTCTCAACCTGCAAAGTTAAAACATGTTACAACATATTGCATCTGTCACTCTACCAATCCAGTCACACTGCCTTATTTAGATATTTACCTTATGGTGAAAGATACACCAGAATCAACACAGATTGTTTGCAATACAACCCAGGAGTCACATTCTAACTTGTGGGACTGCTTGGAAAAACTACCATAAATCTGAAGTGACAGGTGTCACAGGTTAAAACTGCAGCAACGAAAAGGCATGCTGAGAGAAATGCCATGGAGGAGCTCTTACAAGGGGGCTTCAACATTGTGAGGTCACCATAAGAAGATACCACTGGTCCAAGGCTTACTCCTTAATTTTCCAGGTTCAAAAATTCAATTCTCGGTATATTTAAAGATATGTGATCAATTGATATATTCTAACTGTACTTAAAAGAGAACATTTACTGATCTACAACAAGCCCTCCAACTCAGAGAATCAAAATGCTCCTAGTCCACAAGATCATTAAATTCTCTTCAGGTTGTAAATGCTACATGGAAAGCCACGTTAAGATAGCAGACAGATACCATGGAGCGAGCTTCTACTGAGAACCAGCATCAACCAGGTTCTCAGCCTCACACTTACTTCCTCATGTCCATTCAGTTAAGTCTCACACCACTTTCTTTGAGGTGGGTATCATTTGCTCCATTTTATGGACAGGGAAACAGACATAGGTAACCTGCAGCTACACGAGAACTGGGATTGGAACATCTGCCTAACGTCCTTAGTACCAATTACAAGTCCCACAAAACTAAGTCCAAAGTGGCCTGGTGAATTAGCTGGGAGGCCTTAACAAAAGCTATGAAGCTACGCATCAGCACTAACAGCCTATACTCACCAGAGACATCAAAACATTGCTCAATACCTCTGCTGCCCCGAACATACGAAAGAACCACTCTCAGCTTCTCACTCTTTGGACTCCCATTTTACAGACATTATAGATCACTCCATACTGTTCAGTTAGCAGTCTTTCCTTAGCAGACGATGTAATTTTTTTTAAAGCAAGGTAGCCTGACCTAACAATAAAAATGTAAGATACAGTAATCACTACCATCAAACATGTCAGTGAAATGTGGAATATTGCTATCTGCCCCAATTCTGTAAAGATACTAGCCTGGAGAATGTGGGTGAGGAGCAAACATTCTTCACACTGACAAAGCAGCAAGTGTATTCCATTTTAGTAGAAGGACACAAATGAAATAAACAAAAGCTTAGTGGAAATTACAACTGCCACAAAGCACTCATTTCTTTTTGTTAGAATACGCCTAGGAGTCTAAGAAAGAAAATCATTTTGCAGCTCCCTAGAATAAATCTGAGTGATTTTTCTAGCTTAATACAACTATCTACTACATCAGTGTTTTCAAATTTCTACCAGTCAAAACAAAAGGAGTTTCAGTAATGGAACTGGCGATGCTTTCCATCATTTTCATGATACCTGACTCAAAGGCTACAAAGCTCAAAATTCAAGTTTTGTCAGTTATAAGAACAGACAACAGGAAAATTTTGCAGCCACAAGTCAGTCTGCAAAACTAGCACGACTGCTAGTACTTATTCCAGAGGCACACCCTAGAGACCCAATTCTAATCTCAATCAACGTTGAATAGACTAATTAATACAACACCAAGACCTTTAAAAGATGTCAAATGTCTTCTGGTCTCTGAATGAGAGCCTTCAATCAGCAGAAATTTTAACAGTACATTTCTAGCAATGAAGACCACAAAACTCTCAGAATCACATCTGTACGCTTCGTAGTAGTATCTACCACTACTTGAAAGCTCATTACATGCCAAGTGATCTACAAATACTATCCCATGTTATAGTCAGCTTCACTTTTACAACCTTTCTGGAAGATAACTTGGCAAGTTACTAAAAGCGTTTCAAGAGACCTGGCAATTCCGTATCTAAAAACTCATCCTAAGAAAATAATCAGAAGCTGGGGCAATGCCACGGACATGTTACTCATTAACTGCTTCCCATTTTTCCCAATTCAAATGCCCAACTATAGAGAAACACTTGAATAAACTGTAGTACATCTAATGTGATAGTATATTATGTGGCCATTAAAATTACAAATTTGAAGACTCTGAAATGTTGAGAAAATGTTGCCAAGGTAGTGCTGACTACAAAAAGTAAGAAAAGTAAGAAAAGAAGAGTAAGGCACAATGAAACTGTTTATGAAGTTCAGGCCATCAGGTTTAAAAGACACATTTAAAAGATACATTCATATAAAGGAAAAAAAGCTTAGAAAAAATACACTAAAAAGTAAACTGCGGTTATATCTGGGTTATGATGTAATAAATAATTGTACTCTTATTTATCCTTTTCTGTATGTTACAAGTTTCCTATGGTGAATATGTAGTATTTATCAGGAAAAAAAAACCATGAAAATTACCTGTGAAAATATGTACCAAAGCCAAGCTACAATATAAAGTTTCCACATCCCCTGGTTTAAAACAGTGTTTTACAAACCACAAATCAAACTGTGTGCAGAGCTGCATTTCCAGTATCATAAAGTTAGTGTTTTTCTTATTTGGCATTTAAATATGCCTTTTATTTGAGAGTCCTAACATTCTGTACGCATTTTTACCACATGCCACCTACAGGGATAAATTATAACAATGTTTCAAAAATACGAAGACATTAAAGTTAAACTAAGTTCTGATAGTGTTTGAAGTTCTCCCAGCCAGGTCTGCATCAAAGACTCAAACAGCCACCACTGGCTTCCAAGCCCACACTTGTATTAAGAGATGGAACATGCCCAGCTTTAATCACATGTACAAGTAGAGAGGAGTTTTCTGTTCTAAATATGTTGTCACTTTATAACTACTAGAATCAGACTAAAGTTGTTAAAAGTCAACACGTTTTTCAAGCGTATGCTTGTGCACAATCAGTGCGGATGTGAAAGACTGAATTCTAAACCAGTGATCCTCAGTGTGGGACAGGCATGCAAGACAATTCTTTAAGGATGTAGGAATAGAAAATATTAGGCTTTTCATTTCCACTTATTTTAGTTCATCCTTTTGTAAATACTATTCTGTGTCTGTTACAATGTACATAAAGTATTCCTTTATTCCTGTATATAATTGATACCTATTATTACTATATATATTACCTACAATACACATGCATATGTAAAAAATGCACATTAGTTTATATATATAATTTATTATATACATCACAAAGATACATATTCCAAAACATTTTATTCATAGAGGTAAGTGACCAGAAAAGTTTGGAGTAGAGGTTTAGACACAAAGTGACAGTGAAGAATAGCCAGAAACATTGAGGGGGAAAAAAAAGATTCCCTGTAGAAATGAAAGTGAAGGAATGAGAATGGAGAAGGTAAGTAAGAGGTAAAGAGACCGGGAGAACTTTGAGAGGGAGGGAGGGAGGGCAAGTAACATGGGAGAATCCTGGTTAAGTACAAGCGGGGAGGACCTCAAGTAAGTGAAGATGATGTTTTTGTGGGGAAAAACTATAATGATGTTTACTATTATGACTTGGTGAAAGGAAATGACTCAGGTGTCTAGGGTGGATCCTGTTCCTGCCCGTGGGCAAGCAACTGAGATGACCGACCACCAGACATCTTAAAATAGATAGTGTGTTAGGTTACAATGGGGCCAACAGAACAAACTTGAAAAACAGGAGCTGTTTACAGCTATGTAATACAGTCTCAACACTAGCTGAAGCCCAGGTTTCCATAGGCTAATGTGGCTTGGGAAGGAAGTAAATGCCAAAATGACCTAACCAATAGAACGAATCTGGAGTTAGCCTAATTGTCAAATTAGTAAGGTATTCTTAGCATTCCAAGCTGGCCGAGGACAGTGCCTGGCTGGCTTGACCAAAGGACCAAGTGTCTTTGAATCTGACACCCTCTTTAAATTTTTTGTTACAGCCATCTCAGAAAATGCAGGAACAGAGACAATCTCAATCTTTGTCCTCTCCCAAGCCCTAATAACAACAAAATCAATTTACACGCTTTAATTTTTTATTTCTCCTACCATATTATAACCAGGGTAATAAAACAGCCAGAGGAAAGAGACCGAAGAAGTCACATTCAAAAACTTGTTGATTTTCCCCGTTAAACTGTTCTCTCCTAGCTCTCTGGAGAGACTGACAGGAACTGGTTCCTGACTTTTTGTGGATTAGCTTTTTATAGAAGTTACAAAATATCCTTTACCAATTTCTTTGTAACTTTTGCCAGACAGCCTATCTGAGTGACACTGGGCCCTGAAATAAATTCTTTGTGATATTCAGCTTCATGCCAACATTCTGAAGTTCACCTGGCGTACAGGAATCACACTCCTGATGAAAATATGGGCACATTTGTTTACCATAACACAGGGCAGAACAAGCTGTAGTCAGGCAATAGTTTTTGGAACTATTTCATAACTGCAGTAGGAAATCAAGATTTACATTCTGGGGCCTTGGAGGACATCTATAATGTTCTTAATGTTTGCACTATGCCCTCCAAGATCCATTTGCCAAGTCAGGATTTAAAAGTTTTAGTGTGAAGGCGTCAGACTTATTGTGACCAATTATTTTTGGTGGCAGCACCAAAGCATTTGGAGAATAAATTACTTTGCTTATTTAAAATTTAAGAGCAGCTGAACTTCTTTCCAGCAGTGCAGGAAAGTGAAACAAGCAAATCACACTGAGAAGATACTAGGCCATTTTAAAGCAAATACCCTCATAAAGCACTGATCTTTGCACTGACCCAAACTCTGAACTGTGACCTGAAAGAAAGGGATTTTGGCCTATTACCAGGGAAGAAACCAAAGAAACAAATAGTTTGAGTTGAACTAATAATTGCTTTACTTTAAAAAAAAAAAAAAGAATAGAACCAGAAACGCAGGTAGTAGGGAAAAGGGTAAATAGATTTTCCAAAGGCCTCAAAACAAGGTAGTGCAAGTATCGAACTTTCCTTCACTTACAGTGCAAATCTCTACATTTATAGGTAAATTACGTTTACTTAAGCAGGAACCCTTTCCAAAAAGGAGAAGAACATCTATCACAGGGATCCAAACTGGTATTTCTGGTTGGGGAAGCAGATGAATGAACTCTTGCAAACCTAGGGCTTGTGAGGTCCTCGACGACACACCAAACTCGGGATTATTAGGGAAGAAGGGGCCAAAGAGCCGGAAAGTGGGGCAGGCCGCCCAATAGTCCGCACGCCCCTCAGGCTGCAGTGGGTGCGTGCGTCTGCGGTCAGGTTCTCCTCTCCCTCCCTTAGCACTCCACCCTACGCTCGGAGTGTGTGGGGGCAGCTACCGATTCCAGCTCCCTCCCGGATGTGGGGGCGAGCTGGGAATGGCCATCCAGCTTCCCCCCACCCCCATACCTTCCCAGAGGCAAAGAAGGGCGTGAAGGGCAGTTCCTAAGGGAGGCCCCGCTCGCTGCCCGGCATACCTGGCTCTCGGCTGCAGGGATGCCGGACTCGAGCTCGCACAGAGCGCGGAAGTTGTGCAGCTCGAAGTCGGCGTCGACCTGGAGGGAAAAGGTCACCTCGGAGAGGTCCCTCCGCACACAGTACACCGTGAGCAGCATGGCCCGGGCCCGACCCAGCTCAGCTCGGCCCGGCCTCGGCGCAGGGCTGCGGGGGGCGGCGGGGCCTGACTGGTGCTGCGGGCAGCCGGCGCGGGCTGCTCCCTCCTTCCCTCCCTCACACACGCTCAGCGCCTCACTTGCTCCCGCCCTCACTGCAAGCACTGCCGCCGCCACCCGCCTGCAACTCCGTGTGCCTGCCTGCCTGCCGGCCTGCCTCCCACTGCTGCCGCCAAGCGCGCCAGCCGCTCCACGCTCCGCCCCGCCGCAACGCGGCTGTCGTAAAGCCCGCCTTGCCCTCTTGGCCTTCGCGACGCAGCGGAGGGGCGGGGCCGGGAAGGAGGCGGGAAGCTATAAGAGGCTTGGAGGGGGCGTGGGAGGGGACAAGGAGGCAGGGGCCAGAAGAGGGGAGGGAAGGAAGGGAATGAGGGGCAGGAAAAGTGCAGTAATTGACTTAATAACGAGTCTGTGGAGGATTCCACAATCTCATTTATTCATGTAACAGGCATTAATGCGTAAAAATGTGGATGCAGAATGTGTAATACAAAATGTAGATACAAAATGCATAAAAATGCAGGTTCTTTCCCTCGAGGAGCTCTCCAGTTAGTACAGGAGACTGAGAATTACGCAGACAGTTCTGAAACATATTTTTCGAAGTACCAAATTGAGGCTCAGAGAAGCTAAATCACTGGCTGTTCCACTGATTTAGGGTTAAAACCAAAACCATTAGCCTGCCTGGTCTGCAGAACTCATTTCACATTCTGGCCCTTGCCTCCTTCTCCTTCCGGGCCTCCTGAGCCCTTCCCGCCCTCTGCCCTCTGCCCTCCGACCTTTTGAGTTTCAGTTCCTCCAAGGCTCCATTTCTCTGCCTTGTAAATAGTTTTCTCTCTACTTGGACTGCCCCTTTCCTAGCCTCGGCAACTCCCAGCACCTAGTGCAGTGCCTCTATTAGTCAGCTCGATAAAATATTTGCTGCTTTAAAGACCTGTGTGACAGGGGCCCAGAACATGAGGATGTGTCAGAAAATCAAAGCAGAAAGAGGAAAATAAAGTGGATGCAAGAGTGGCATCTCTCTATTTACCTCCTACTTCTCCACCCATGGAGTAGGGACCCCTCTCCTATCATAACTGGAGGAAAGGAGGAAACAGGATGGCTATGGAAGCAGCTCAATAGGTAGGTTTGACGGCAAGAAAGTGAGACAATAACCAGCTGAAGACTTTCCTCTGTAAAGGAGGAGGGAAGGCCATCCACCAAGAATAGACAGATGGTGGGGAAGGGGAGGGGATCAAGAAGGGAGTGGTTGTATCAGCTACAGAAAGCTTGAGTGTCAGTGACTTAAACAAATAAGGGTTTATTTTTCTTACAGGATAGGAAGCCTGGGGGTAGATGGCTGCATTGGTTCAGTGAGTCAAAGATATCAGGGCCATTATTTCAGCAAATCTTTCCCTGAGGGTCACATTATGATGGCTGCCTCCTCTCCATACATCATTTTCTTGTTCAAGGCATGAGCTTGCCCAGGAGTCTCCCAGCAGGTTTCTGCTTACATCTCACTGGCCAGAACTGTCACACAGTTGCAAGAAAGGCTTATAAGTGAGTGTTTAACTTTTCTCACCTCTTTAAAGGACATGGACAGGGGAAAAAGGAATTGGGAATGAGTGTTGGGTGAGACAAATACAGTACCTACTGAAGCAGAGAAGGCTTGAAATTACCACTGCAACTTGAGCAAAGAAATTATGTAGGACTGCCAGGTGGTATTCCGTTAAGGTTGGAATCATGAATAGATTAATTTTTCTGTTACAGGTTTTTTCTAGTGGTGCCCACGTGTGACAGCTTTTATTTCCCAAAGATGGCCATAACAATATCTCCCATCTGATATATCCTTCCTACAGTGTGACCATAATATTCCTCCCATTAAAAAATGAGGTACATGTCCCTCCATTTGAATCATGGCACACTCTGGCATAGGTGTCATTGTGTTACTTCTGAAACTAGGTCATAAAAGGAAATACAGCTTCTGCCTGGTTCTCTTGAACACTTAGTCTTGCAAACCAGCAAGCCCAAACTACCTAGACAGTGAAACCCCACAGAGAGAACACATGTAGATGTTCCAGTCAACAACCCAGCTGAGATCAAAGCCAGTTATCAGGAAAACCCACCAAGCACATGAATGAGATACTTACCAGTCAACCCTATTGACTCATCTCCATTCTTTGGGTCTTCTCAGCTTCTCCCAGCTTCCCCCAGACATCATGGAGCCTTTGCCGGTGTACTCTTTCTGAATTCCTCACCCACAGAATCTGTGTGCATAATCAAATGGTTATTTACTTGACCAAGTTTGGGGTGGTTTGTGTCAGGGTGCTCAACTCAACTCTCACACTATCTGTCTGCCCGGAAACAGCACCAGATTCCCGAGGTTAAGGGCTCTGACAATACTGCCCTTCCCCCACTCCAGATGCAGGCTGCAAGCCCCAGGCAGTTACCTGTGCTTCTGAGCAACTGGCTACAGATTGGGGGTTCCCATGATCTCCCACGGGGTTCCAATGATCTCCACTTAGGTTTGATTAATTTGCTACAGCAGCACGCAGAACTCAAGAAAATACTTGTTTACCAGTTTAATAAAGGATACCTTAAATGATACAAGTTAACAGCCAGATGAAAAGCTACATAAGGCAAGGTCTTTAATAAAGGAACTTCTATTTGTGGAGCTTGGGGCCTAGCTTGGTGGCACTTGGAAGCTTTCTGGTACCCCCAGCGTGGAAGCTCTCTCTGACAGAGAGGCAGGACCCAAGAGTGTGATAAGCTCTTCTCAGGGGTTTTGTGAGGGCTTCATTGCATAGTCATAACTGACTAAATCATTGGCCACTGGCTAGTTCAACCTTCAGTCCCTGCCCTTGGGTGGGGTCCAAAAGTCTCCCATTAATGTGACAAGACACCCATTTCACCTTTAAGGTTCTGAAGTGTTTTCAGAAGCTGTGGATGAAGACCAAATAAACCTGGAAAAATATATTTGGCCATTTGGATGACCAAATATGTATTTCTTATAACTCATATTGCAATGCCATTAAATAGTTCCGAGTTCCTCCACTTACATACACTCTGCTCATTAAATATTAGATGATTAAGTTGTTCACACACTCATTTAATACATATTTTGAGTGCCTACTATGTGCAAGATCATTTTAGGCAGAGGGATGCAAAGCCTAATCAGACAGATAAGGTCCAGGGCTCATGGACTACATATTCTAGTGGAAGTGACAGACAATAACACAAACACAAATAAATAACCCCCCCTCCAGAAAGCACATATTTTAATAACTACTATAGAAGAAATAAACAGTAATGTCATAGAGACTAACTGGAGGATGGAAATGTGTGGAATGAACATACCTTAGTATGTTTCCATGAAGCCCTCTCTGAGGGAAGCTGAGGCCTGAGGAATTAGAAATCAACCATCCGAAGTACTAAGGGGGTAGTTTTCAGGCAGAATAAATAGGGAAGGCAAAGGCCCCTAAGTGAGAAAGAGCTTGGTATCTTGCTAGAAGAAAGGAGGCTGGTGGGAATGGAATGAGTAGTGGGAGAGGGGAAAATGCTAGATGAAGTCAGAAAAGATGAAGTCTAGATCATGCAGTGCCTTGTAGGCCATAGTGAGGTAATTAGATTTTATCTAAATCTAAAGGGAAGCTATTATGAGGGTTTTAAGTAGGAAAATTGTATTGTCAGATGTATGTTGTGAAAAGTTTATGCTGTCCAGAAATAAACCCTCACATTTAGGGTCAATTAATTTTCATCAAGGGTGTGAAGACAATATAATGGGAAAAGAATTGTCTTTTCAACAGATGGTCTTGGGACACCTGGATATGCACATGCAAAAAATGAAACTGGATCCCTACCTCACACCATATACAAAATTAATTCAAAATGGATCACAGACTTAAGTGTTAGAGCTGAAAGTATAAAACTCTTAGGAGAAAACATAAGAGGGAATCTTCACAACTTTGGATTAGGCAAAGCCTTCTTAGACATGACACCAAGAGCACACGTAAGGAAAAAAAAATAGATAAATTAGACTTTTTCAAAATTGGAAATTTTTGTGCTTCAGAGGACTCCATCAAGAAAGTGAAGGACAACCCAAGGGAGACAGTATTTGCAAATCATATATCTGAAAAGGGACTGTATCTAAAATATATGAAAAACTCTTACAGTTCAATAATAAAAAGACAACCCAATTTTTCAAGTGGGCAAAGGATCTGAAAAGACATTTCTCTAAAGAAGATATACAAATGGCTAACATGAAAATATGTTCAACACTATTAGTCATCAGAGAAATGCAAATCAAACCATAATGAGGTACTATTTCACATCCAGTACAATGGCTATAGTAAAAAAGACAGCCAATAACAAGTGGTGGTGAGGATGTGGAGAAATTCTAATGCTCCTACACTGCTTTTGGAAGTTTTAAATTGTGCAGCCACTTTGGAAAACATTTGGGCAGTTCTTCAAAAAGTTAGGTACAGAGTCACCATATGATCCAGGAATTCCACTCTTAAGTATACACCCAAGAGAGCTGAAAATATACATCCACATAAAAATGCCTACGTGAATGTTTATAGCGGCGTCATTCATAATAATGAAGTGGAAAAATCCAAGCATCTATCAATTGAGAAATGAATAGATAAAATGTGGTATGTCCATATGATGGAATATTATTTGACAATAAAAAATATTAAAACATGCTACAACATAAATGAACCTTGAAAACATTAAGCAAAAGAAACTAGTCACGGAAGACACATACTGTATTATTTCAACTATATGAAATATCCAGAAAAGACAATCTCCCATTAATGTGACAAGACACCCATTTCACCTTTAAGGTTCTGAAGTGTTTTCAGAAGCTGTGGATGAAGACCAAATAAACCTGGAAAAATATATTTGGCCATTTGGATGACCAAATATGTATTTCTTATAACTCATATTGCAATGCCATTAAATAGTTCCGAGTTCCTCCACTTACATACACTCTGCTCATTAAATATTAGATGATTAAGTTGTTCACACACTCATTTAATACATATTTTGAGTGCCTACTATGTGCAAGATCATTTTAGGCAGAGGGATGCAAAGCCTAATCAGACAGATAAGGTCCAGGGCTCATGGACTACATATTCTAGTGGAAGTGACAGACAATAACACAAACACAAATAAATAACCCC